GCGCCTGATCCCTTGGCAGGTTTTGTCTTTTCTTCAGGCCATTGTTAATAAGTATTTGAGATCGGTGCTGTACACCAAGATTATTTTTAATTAACAATTACTTAGCAATTGACAATGGAAAGATGACAAATTATAATCCAAAACCTGCTTTCATTGTCAGAGAGTCCATCTTTCCCAGAAACAGAGGCTCAGAGGAACAGCAGCGTTCCTTTCGCCTTGCAGCTGTTGCTATGTGTGGTAACTTCTGTGTCAAGGCCTACGATTTTCTCACATTTCCTCTGTAACTTGAATACCTAAACTGATGAATCCCTTCACCTCCGCATTCCCCCAGAGGCTGTCTCATTCTCTTGCTGTGATTTTTTTTTTCCTCTTTTTTTTTTTTCCCCCCCTCCCTTGGCAGACCTGCATGGGCAAAGACGTAACCCTTCACGTCTCTGCAAGCAACCCTGCTATGCTGCTCTACCAAAAATTTGGATTTAAGACGGAAGAATACATTTTGGATTTTTATGACAAATACTACCCCCTGGATAGCAAGGAGTGCAAGCACGCATTCTTTCTCAGGCTGCGGCGCTGACCCGCTGGAGTTGTCTGGGGTTCTGCAAAAAGCCCAAGCGAAGAACTACCACGGCTTTCAGCAGAGGACACTGGCTGCCACGTGAGAGTTGGAGTGCACCGATGCCTTTATCCCTAGGACTTCAGATATCAACAGTGGTATGTTGTGTGCTGAAAGTGCAATCCGAGGGGATTGATTCCTACGCTTCAAGGGGAGAGGCCTGGAAATGCTGACTGGGACATGCTGAAACCACTGGAAGACTGAAATTCTTTATGGGGAGTTTTCCTGCCACTGTTACTTTGGAGACCCTTCCTGACAAACAAAAAACAAACAAAAAAGTACTTGTCACTTCCGAGGGGCCCCATGGATTTCAAATTTTGAAACATTCAAAAAAAGTCACAGGTTTTCTGTTTTTGTTTATGGGAAATGAACATCTATAACTTAAATCATTCACAGTATTTCTGTGATTTGTGTGCTTTGCTAGGAGCCATGTCTTGAATCCGCGAAGGGAAGTAAGATATTGGTGCATCTAGCTGGATGTCAACATTAGGAGAGCTCTACACATGACAGAATAGCAATACTGGAACCATGTTTTAAGAATAATGAAGAGTGTGTGAACTCATATGATCCCGAATGCAAGGCTCAGAGGAGATGACTTTCTTCCGCTCCTTCCCTGCTGCCTTCCTTTCCCCGCGTTGACCCTGTGCTCGATGTGAAGTTCTTGTAGTGCGCAGTGTTTCGTGTTCAACAACAAGATGTCAGGTGGGTTTGTAGCTAGGCGAGGTAGGACACAGCGGCTGCCAAATCAGCTCTTTGAAATCTTACAACTCATCTGCCAGTTGTTTATGCTGCAGATCAGCCCTTTGGGCACACCTCTAACCACAGAGCCAGCCTCACAGGCTCCAGCATCCAACTCCTCCTGCTACAGACACTCTGGCTAGAATAAACCTGGAACAAAAATCAGTGGTGATGTTTGAAATGCAGGTTCTGGTTTATAGAAGCAATCTGTTTGGAGCTTGGAGGAGGGAGGGGGTAGAGGTGGGCCAGTTCCAGTTCTTAGAAGCATCTAGGCTGTGATTACGTGGCTCTAAGTGTAATTAGAGAGGAAACAAAGAATAAATCCAAGAATTGAAAAAATACAAACCCCAAACAATTTCTCTGGTAGTGGGAGCTAGTCCTCTTACACAGTTTAGCAACTTTACTCTCTCCGTGACTTTTATTGCAGACGAACAGTAAGTTGGCACTTTGCTCTTGCTGCCTGACTGAAGGTCAGTTCATGCATATTAAATACAAATCGCATCCACTGTGCTGTTCCTTTCACATCAAGGCCCACGGACAGCTACATTGCAATCGTCACTTCTTTGTTCTTAATGCACTGTTTATATCTGTTGGGTATGTGGCTATAGTAGCAGTTGCCTTAATGGAGTCTTCATTTTGGTAACTACGGAGAGAGGGACACAAAGTATGTTTTTGTGAGGCCAGTGTACATCACCACCAAAAAAAAACAGTGTTAGTGGGAGGGAAACAGAACCCATCCAAGTGTTGTGTGCCCTAACATCCATGCGCATTTCTGCCTGCTTTATGACTATGTGAAAATTTTCAGTGTTGCTGATGTTACAAATTAGCTGTACTGGGAAAGAAAAAATTATCTGTCTTCATGAATGGAATTAAAGCCCTTCCCTTGGAAAAGCCTACGTGTAGTCATACTGTTTGTTAAGTTGTCTCTCCATCATCTTATTGAAATCTAGCAAACTCAGGTACGCCCGATAGAGGATGCAAAGCATGCGTGTGGGCAGCAGAGCAAGGCAAGAAACTCCTTATTTCTCTACTGGGCATCCACACAGAAGCCACACACGTGCGGGCTCTTTCCTTGCCAGCCAGAATTAGGAGATAAAAGACAATTTGAAGAACATTTCCAGTTCTGCATCATGTGCTCAAAGGTGACAAGATTTTTGAGGAGCTGCTTGCTCTGTGCTCACGCCTCTGTGGCTTTGTCCCTCAGCAGGGGGATGACAAATGAAGAAGGTGCTAGAACAGCCCTGAGATTCCTGCTTGCTGCAGACCACTTGTTTTATCCAGGCGGTTCATTTAGCCCCAGATATGCAAAGGCAATTAAGTGATTAAGTGCCTTTGCACCTCAGCCATTTCGGATCTATCTGTCATCTGGAAAAATAGGAATACCAACATTTTCCTTCTTCGGGAAAACTGGTAAGAATGAACTCAGGAAAGGTTACTGGGAATGAAGATCAATATTGCTGTTCTGCAGGCTGCAGAAACACAAAATCACTTTGCAGGTCTGCGAGCATTTATGTGGACAAGGCTTGTTTCGTGCTAATTTGCCCATATTTCTTGGAAAATCAGCCGGTTAATGGCTATACATATAATATTGCACACTCCTGGGACTGTAGGCTTAAGTTTTGATCCCTTGGTGTTATCTTATGTGCTTTTGTAAACTCTACACCCTGTTCCTTAGTGCTGCCTGTGAAAATGTGGCATGCCTTTGAACTGTTGACCATGAGATCCTTCCCTGTTGATCCTAACGGCTTTAGTGGGTGCAAGCATGGCTGGGTCAAGGATCACTTTGTTGATGGTCTGGGTGAAGATGAATAGCCGTGACCCGAGAAGACCTTCCTGGCTTGCAGAGGGATCCTGGCAAACTGCATCTGAAGGACACTGGTGAAGACAGCAGTATGTGTATTATTTCCTCCTTGCAATTCAGGCTGTCTGTAAGAGACAGTTTCTTTTGCTCAGCTGCCTATATGGGAGCCACTGTTTGGTGAGCAGGAATTCACCCCCCACTTTCAGCAAGTCTTCTGAGGACAGGACGTTGAGGCCAGCCTGGTAGCAGGCATTATATGAAGTCAGGTGTGAAATCTGATAGGGGCAGGCAGCCCTGGGGAAATCGGTCGGCAGGAGAATTAGGCAGGCTTTGAAGTAGCTATAAAATATCTGCCGCAACTCCGTCTCTCTTTTGGGGCTGCACAGGGACCACTTCCAGCCTCCACTCAGGAAACATTTCCTCCCCAGAATGCTGAATAATGGGAAGCCCTAATGGCTCTTAAGCTTATCAGTTTAAGGCTGCTGCTTGAACGGTCATCTGGCTTTCTCTGCAATGGACGAGGCTTTTCCAAGGCACACGATGAAACAAACTGTGTGCTCTTAGGCCGCTGCTTCCCTCCTCTTTGTGCCTCGGAGACTGGTGCGATGAGTTATGTTAGCTGTAATTAAAAAGCCAGTGTCTTCCCGGCTTAGTGACACAATTACTCCACGCTTCCCCGGGCTGTGCAGTGGCTGCAGCAGTGATTACGGTTGCCAAACGCAGCTCAGTTCGACAGACACAAAGTTTTCCTGGAGAATAAAGGTGGAATTTCACCCTTTCCTAACAGGGCAACAAAGCCCAAGCCTTTCCACATGCTTGTCTGAGCTTTGATACTTCACAACCAGGAAGCTGTCCACTGTGGTCAGCTTATCGTGCCCGTTGATCTACAGTTGCTGAGCTGGGTAAATACTGAGATCATTCTGCATAGTGATCAGTAATTTCATAGAAGTAAGGCTTTGCAGTTTACTTTGAAAGAGAAGTCTCTTTGCTGAGAGTCCCGATGTTGCACACATGTTTGTTAAATGCTTCTCTCCAGGTTTCAGATCGCTTCTGGGGGAAGAAGCAGAAGACTGCTTGGTCCATCCATTGCTACCTGTGGTGTAAGGATGCACTTCTTTGCAGACCCACCTGCTTGTGATGATAAGCTATTAGTGAGTCGTTGAGCTAAGGGATAAAGATCATTCGTCTCTGGCTACTTTGCTTACATCACCTTGCTCCAGGAGGTAACCTGGTCCACAGGTTTGCTTCCCTCTAGCCCTGGCGCTTTTTTTCTGGAGGAGCAAACAGTGCCTTCCCCATCAGCCAGTGCAGGAGACTAAGCCCCTGCTGCTGCGGTGGATGAGCAGCCAGTTCTTCCCCACAAAACCAGCTGCCTCCTGCCCCTGCAGCAGTGAGCAGGGGCCTGGGTCTTGCTTTTTTTTTTTTTTTTTTTCTTTTCCCTCCAGGCAGGCACTAGCGGCCGGGATTTAAGATGCTCCTGCGGGAAGGGAAGGAAGGGCTGCCCAGGGTGGGAACAGGCAGCAGCAGTGGGAGCATCTCTCTGCGGGTCCCGCCTCCACTGTGCTTCTCAACACGGAAACCCATGGCAAAAAAAAAAAAAAATCCGTTTCCTTGCCGGCTCACGCACCGTAGGAGTTACGAGGGTGGTCGTGGCCTGCCCGGGGGTGCCGAGGGCCCCGGGGGGGAGGTCTGGGCTGGCGGGCTGCGTCTGATGGGGCTGTCCGGGGTTGAGGGTGGCTGGAGGCGGGGGGCTGCCGTCACCGGCCGCGGGACTCCCGGCAATCCCCGCGGCCGCGGGAACTACAGCTCCCGGCGGCCCCCGCGGCCGCCCCGCTCCCGCCCTGCCTCGCGCGCCCACCCGCCGCCATTTGAACGGGGAGTCCATGGCGGCCGGCGAGTCTGCGGCGCTACCCGAGGAATGGCGGTTTTACCTTGTCCCCGCCCGAGCCGCCACTTTCCGCAACTGGCCCTTCACCGAGGGCTGCTCCTGCACGCCCGAGAGGGTGAGCCGGGGAGGGGAGGGGAGGGGAGCGGGGCGCGGGGAGCGGTATTGACACTCCCCCGCCCATCCCTCCCTCCCTCCGTCTCCCCTTAGATGGCGGCGGCGGGTTTCGTGCACTGCCCCAGCGAGAACGGCCCCGACGTGGCGCAGTGCTTCTTCTGCTTCAAGGAGCTGGAGGGCTGGGAGCCCGACGACGACCCCCTGTGAGTACTGGGGTGTGTGGGTGTGGGTGTGTGTGTGTGTGGGGGGGGTGTGGGTCCCGGCCCCCCCCGCCACGGCAGCTCCCCCGGCGTGGGGCGAACGGCTGCGTCTGCCTTGTTAGGAGCTGCTTTTACATGTTTTTATCATTATTGTTTTTTTCTGCCCTCCCCCCCCGCCTCTTTTCAGGGAGGAACACAAAAAACACTCTGCGGGCTGCGCTTTTCTTTCCCTGCAGAAAGATCCCACTCACCTAACGCTGCAGGAGTTCCTGAAGCTGGACAAAGAACGAATGAAAAACGCAATTGTACGTACGCGGTGACGCCGCGATGTTGTCCTACCCCCACCTCTCCCCGTGCCTCTGGAAGAGTTACTCTAATTTCTAGGCTTGGGATTGATTTTCTGGCCTCTTGGTTCTTACCACGGTTCTGGCTTCCTGAAGCGCACCGTATCAGATGGCCTTTCCTGGTTCTCAGCCTTTCTCTGTAGCCCGCTTTCCCCTTGAAGCTGAACAATGCGCAACTTAGTGGCAGACAGTAATCTTATTATTTATATTATTTGTAGAAAAAAGAAATCTCTCGGAAGGTGATCGAGGTTGAAGATGCAGCCAAGAGAGTGCGTCGTGAAATAGAGAATCTGGTCTCCTAGGTAACTGTAGCTTCTCACTTGCTGGTGACATCTGTGGCGTAGGCGTGCTCTGGCACTGCTGCTGTGGCTGAGTGACTGTGTTTCCTGAGACTGCTTTCCAAACAGGCGTTTCTGAGAAGCTGACTGAATTCTCCATCACTCACCTGAGTCTGTCTGGGAAGTACCTGGGGTTTGATGCACTGCATACGTTATTTTTTTTTTTTCTGCAGGGATTTCCCTATTTTTTTTCCCATTGGTTTAATTAAGGATTACTACTTGTGGTTTTATTTGTTCTTTTTTACTTTTTTTTTAAACCCATCTGCTTCCATTTTGGAGGTGCTCATAGCTCTGGTGCAAAAGGTTGTGTTTCTTGCAAGAGCTGGCAGGCACTTCCATTTTTATACTGAATATGCTAATGCTTTTGGATACTTTTGGAAATAAAGAGGGGAAGGAGTTTTAAAACGCCTTCAGGGATTTAGGATTGTGGCTAGCAATGTCTAATACCAAATCTTAGTGTGCCTGATATCCTTGTAAACTTCTATTTGTAGTTGGCTGCTGCCTCGTGTTGATGCATGTATAAATAAAAGTTTAAAGGCAAAATGACAAAGTAATTTTACTCAAGTTTCCTAGAGGAAAAGAATCTGACCTTTAATGCAATGAGCTGCACCGAATGCGGTTTTAACTTCAGAATTGAAAATAAGCTAATCAAAGTACTGTTTGCAGTGCTATTGCTCAAGTGCCAAACTGTCTTAAGTAGCTTTCATCAGGTCTCCTTAAAATGTCCTTGTGCCTTGGAAGGTGTGGTTGGTCCCTCTCCTTGCACAAGTTTGGCAAGGAAAAGAAATCTTGCAGAACAGCGCAGTCAGTGAAGAATTGTGCTCCGAGCTGCTGGGAAGGAATTGGGGAATCTTGTACAAGAGAGTTGGCTGTTACGGGACCCGAGTTGATCGTACAGGGTCATGAAGCCTGCCGACAGAACTGGATGTGTGTGCTTAGGTGCTCCCAAATTCAAAGAACCTCCAACTGCATCTTGGGAAAAGACGGTTGCAATCACACACTCACGAGACCGATGTTCCTGGGTTTCGTAAGTTTGTCCAACATTACCTGCCCAAGCTTACTTTCAAACAATGAAATAACTTCATTATTTCCAGCTGTAACAGCCAAATCATATGCTGATTGTCCTTTTGCATTCTTTTTTATGCTTGCATTGTAACCGTAAATAAAGAACAGATTGTTTTAAGCTACTTAAATCCATTCCCAGTAACTGGAATTAGTGAAGTGACTTGTAGGTAAATGTTGATGCAGAGTCACTTCATGATTTCTGTGTGCCTCTTCCTGCAGGGACACAACTAAGAGCACCGAGCCTCCGGCAGGCTCTGTTCCAGTACTTACCATAACAGGACTCAGATGCTCTCCTCCCCCTTGGATCCAAGCAGAACTGCCTCATGGAGAGCAGTGGTGTTGTGCCTGCATAGGAGGAATGAGCAGTGTACTTCTTACCTAAGAAAATTGTCCTGGTACAGGGAGAAGTAGGCTAGCAAATTAAACTAAGCAAAATGAAGAAATGAAGAGGAAGATAGAGAATACACTAGGAGTCACAGTGATTTTTTTTTTGTTTTTTTTTTGGGGGGGGGAGTAGGCTTTAGTGTGGTTTATCATATTAGGTTGAAGTGGATGGAGGAAGGAATTTAACAGAAAGGCAGCTTTTCTAAAAAATTATGATAAGTCTTCAAAGCTGGTGACTGAAAGGACTGAATACTCTTATCTTTGCTTGGTTGCAGGTTTGTTTGTGTGTGTTGTTTTTTTTTTTTTTTAATTTGTCTTTGATAGGTGCTCCTCGACGACAGATTTGTAGAGGAGGGGTAGGGAGTTAGTCTTCTCTGAAATTGGAACACAAATGCTTTTTTGGTAAAACTGCAAAAGACCAAAGGTAGAGAGTCAGTGCTCACTTACAGCCCTGACTGCTGGTTGATGTTAGCATGTTTCTGCACAAGAAGGGAGGTTGCTTCCACATGCTTGTTAAGGACAGCAACGGTGAGAGCAGGTCGGTCCTCGTCGCTGGTGCAGTTTGGGTCAGCTCCCTAGAACATACAGGAGAGGGAAGGTAAGCTGTTAAAGCCATAAAGATTCTCCAGCTTCCACCTCGCTTTAATATTATGCCAATTTAAGTCGGCAAATGGACTTTATGCTCAAGACAGAGAAATGTTTAAATTGTGTGGTATTGTTTCTTCTGAGTTTGTCATCTCCTGGCTCAAATCCAGAGTAAATGTGTATAACGAGGGCAGTCAAATTAGATCCTAGAGTCAGGATGCACCTTACTACACAGCAAGAAGCTAGAGGTTATGCTTGATTTTGCCAGAAAGAGGGTTTGACTCTAAAATTAATATATTTCTATATGGCCTTGACAAACACAGAGGTGAATGCCTTGTACACTGGGCAAATAGAAAACCGGGGAGAACATACATAAATGTAAAAGAGGTTGTTTCTTCCCTAAAATGCTCTTTCAATCTGAAGACAGTCAGTTGTACTGCAAGGATGTTGCCTCCTAAGCATAAAGTTGAAGTTGCATACCAGGCTAATATTCATGCAGTAAATGGTCAAAGAGTTAGAAAAGGAAAATTCAGGAAGCAATAACTTATTTCACTGAGCAATTATTCTACCAAGGTGATTCTTCCTTTCCCATTTGGACCCAGTTCTTCCAGCAGTTGTTTGGACTCTGACTGTGGAAACACAGAAAACACCCAGTATCATTTCACATAGTGAAAACACAGGTAGGTGGGCCATAATCTGCCTTTGAGTAAAAGTGGAAAATGCACACGGTGGCATGAATGCAGTATAGCTGAGCCTCAGTATTACTAATCTGTGACCCTTCGTTGTGAATGTCTTTCCAAATCTGAGCAAGTGTTGGATAACCCAGGCTAATATCTCACTATTAAGAACTTGATTCAGCAAATGCATCTACAAATGATTAGCTTTACATCAGTGCAGCTCTCCAGGGCTGTAGAAAAATCTGCTCACCACAGTAAAATTAAACATAGGCATAACTTCTTTGCTATAGGATTAAAATTTGAAGTTTCCAGAATTTGTGGAAGTATTTTTATTTAAAAAATGAATATGTATTGCCTCAAAGAAGTTAGTTTACTAAATCTTAGCACAACAACCAAACAACAAAACCTAAACCCTTTTCCTTTTATTTCTTCCCAGATTCTACTTCCTTCCTCTCCCTTTTAGGAAGACCGATCACTTGACCAAGAATTTTTATCTCTGAACTCCTATCACAAAGCTCTCTTATCTTCTTCCACCTGTTCAGCTGGCTCACTGATTCAGGCTTAGATTAATGTATGTTTCCCTTTTGAAATTTTCCATGCCGTTACTGACGATCCATTTAGTAGGCAGTGCTTCTAAGATATTTGGTCTCTAGTGGAAGTAAAGCCTTGCTTCTTGCGTTCAGCTAGCACTCAGTTGTGCTGACATCTCGGCTTGATGGGAAAACTGAGTTGACTTAAAATCTTGTTCCGTAGATCATCGTCTTGTCTAGTTCAGAGTCTGTGTGAACAGTAGTTCCAGCACAGCCAAGGGTATGCCATGTGGAGTCAAACTAAGCAGTAAGGTCAAGGGAAGATAACAATGCGTCCATCTGATGTTGCTTCTGAGAGCAACCTGTAACAAAATCAGTCTGCAACAGTCTTTAGGCCTAATGATGTGTCAGTAAAACAGAATGGGTCCAAAAATGAGAGCAACAGTCTTAACTAAACTTTGTTCCTACTAAGACCTTATTTCCAGTTCTGTAATAAATGTCAGTTACCAATGTTTGGGTTTTATATTAAGTTGGACTTGTGTCCCCTTCCTCTACCCCCAATCAGTGTTAAAAGCTTTCTATTTTTACCCATGGATGCCCTCTTTCATGTTAGCTCTGCTCTATAGGTATTTTTTTCTGACTGGCAGAAGATACGTACGCAGAGCTTATCTTCTTTTTCTGTAAGTGTTCTTGACTTTGTTCTCTTTATTTTGCCTTTCGAATGGAAAAGATTATGATCATCTTTGCCTACCGGAAAGGGAAACAAGTGTTAATTCAAAGCAAAGTCAGTATCCTAACAAGAACTTGGGGGAGAGATCTGGAAGTAATTTATCCACAAAAATACTTTATTTTGTGTTGAAATCAAAGCAGTATTTATCAGTTTTCTACAAGAGAAAGTGATGAAATATTTGTTGCAGATCAGACTGGTTTTAACAAAAGGTTTGCACTCAGGCAGTCTTAAAAAATTGCTATTCTAAAATGAAGATTCAAAGAAATGTGTAGTTTGGGGATGTTTGAGGCTTTTTTTCCCCAGTTGAAGCTATTAAACAGGCTTGACTCGGGTTCTTTTTTTTTGACCAAAAACATTACAATTTTTCAGTGTTGCTTGGCTCCCAAATACTTAAGAACGAGATTAGAGGACCTTTAGTAGATATGTATGTCCATTATTTTTAAGAGACATAATCTATCAATGTGCAGGGGGGTCGGTAAGGAAATTACGCAGCGTGTAGGGACCCTTTAAATGAGTTCTGCTAGAGTGCCTAGAATCGCAGTCACACTATTGACACTACAAAAAAACAGCTCCTAGTCCAGTGGCTGCCTCTTGCCAAACCTCAGACTGGAAGCACAAAGTAGATGAAACTTATATGTGAATTGAAGTATGTCAAGTGACAGTACAGGAATTTCTGAATTCTAATGCTGACTTTACAACTAGTTGATTTAATGAAAACCTAAGTGCAATATGAGATGCCTAAGATGCTGAGCTGTTACTGATGCTAATGGGCGATGCAAGTTAAGCATCTCTGAAAACTAGAATTAATGTATTTCAGAATTTCTTATCTTTGCCAAATGTGCCAAAGCTGAAGTCCCTGGCACAGCTCAAAAGTAGAGTTAATATTGACATTTATGGCTCCTATTGTAAAAGAACATGCAAAGCATCTAAAGTTTTATCACTACAATAAAAACACTTCTGTGAGCTGTAGCTGCAGTTTACTGGCCTCTTTTCCTGTCCTCTAGGGATGAAGCATTCCCATGAGTTTTTGACAGAGTGTGTACGTTGCTTAAATTTCAATTCAGCCACGTTTTGAGATCAACTTATTGGCACATTCTGCACCTACTTATATTAGTTTGCCTGTCTCAGTGTCTAACCTTCCAAACACTGCTTCCGTATTCTTGTCTGCTATATTTATGGTCTGTCGTAAGGATGGGGGTTTGGGAGTGTGGGGGGTGTGTGTGTGAATCTCACCGAAACCAGTCCGACTGCCGTCCTGTCCATCTCTGACTTCTGTTGCGGTATTCAGGTAATGATTGCTGAACTTCACTGGTTTATTAGTATGAATATCCTGTAGAATCATCAAATACAGGCAGTTAGTAAGATTATCATGTAATGCTGTTATAATCTTAGTAGCACAAAATGGTGGTGTTGCATATGAAAAAAATATATAGGCTTTTAATATTAGTCTCAAATTAGCACAAACAAATTATTATATGTAATTGAACTCCATTTTGAGGCAAAATAGTATAGCATTTTTTTCTAAATCTTGTGTTAGGTATTTGTTTTGATTTAGAAAAAAAAAAAAAAAAAGTGACCCAACCTCATTTAATGAAATGAAGATTCTCATCCAAATGAAAGTGTTTCTACCACTCGAGAGATCTGATTAACTCCTCACTTGTGAAGTGACGTAATACACCTTCTCAGGCACCACATGGCACGGTAAGCTCTTACTAAGATTCTACACAAGAGATACAGTCTGAATTTTGGATCTTTGAAAAGCTGGAAATGAATACGCGAGTGGTTTTTGAAACATGGTAATTCTGGAGGTAGGGATTTTAAGTGTTTGAATACAGTTAACAGGAGCTCTGGCAAAAGTTATCTCCAGACTATTGAACATTACTAAGCTTGTTTCTTAAAAGCGCAATTTGCAGACTGAAGAAAAGGAGGATTTATATTCAAGAACTAAGGGGTGCTACAATCATCAAACAACATCAGCTGAAAGAAGAATGTTAATATTAATAGCAAACTAATGAAATGCAAGATGATAGCAACATAACCATGAAGTCTGGCTTAATCGGATAAAGGTACCTGTTCAGCCAGCTCCAACAGAAAAAGAAAAAGATTCCTTTCTCTGAAGTGATCTGTTAACAACCTCTGAACAAAAGAATTTCTTGTTTGGACCTGAATTTAAAATATATCAGCATTACACTGAGTGGTCTAGCAACAGCTTTAGACCACCTTATCCCTTGAACTGACCTTGTTAATAGCAAGTGCGTAATTCAATGTAATAGTGACTTCATAGTCATCCTCACGGATGGTAGCAGAATTAATCTAGAGGGAAAGAGCAGCCATTAGTATCTCTTACAAAAAGTATGCAGAAAGAGTTCTAGAAATAATTCTTGCTGATAATGTTTATTACAGAGCCAATACACAAAATCACACATGTGGCCTTTGCCTATTTGTGATTTCGTACCAACACTTTCCATCTAACTCAGCAAGGGGCAGGTGGTGTTTTGAGTAATTGGAAATATCAGAATGACTGAAATGCCAAATGAATCCAAAAGATGTAATAATGCAACGTTTCATGAAAGTTCGGTCATTCTCCACCCAGATTTTGCAGCTGCATGAAAGGCTGTGTTGTCCTTAGGACTCCCTACTCCAGGAGAACAGTTTTCTTGCTGCTTTAGTTTGTAGAAGCACAGTCTGTAGTAAAACGTGAGCACCTTTCTATATCAATTAATTGAGAGAGTAGTGCTGGCAAGAAGACTGTTGAAGTTAGACATAAATAAGTGCACAGGGATTTATAAAAAAGTGGAATGAAGCTGACAAGGTCATATTGCAGCAAGTTGAGAATTCTGAAGATAAGGTTAATTATATTTCTAATCCTCAGGAAAATTGAAAAAGCAGCATTAAATCCAGATAGTTGGCATCTACTTTGAACCGTTTCTGTTACTTTTGGGGGCAGTGGTTTCAAGACAATAGGATGACGGAAGGCCAAGAAGCAGCAGGAATAGCTTTCTCTAGGCAATTTAATATTTTTCAGGCATATCTTTTTGAATCCTCTAGCAAAGGAAGCAAGTTGCAGCGGACCTATACTTCACCTCCATCAAGCAGATATCTTTTATGTTTGTACTTGTACTACAACTTCTGAACCTATTGGTAGAACCAATAGATTTCAGCGGGTATAAAATTCAGATGCAAAGTATCTGATGGAGTGTCATACCTCCTAAAAGTGTAATCTGCCAAATGACAACTAGATTTCTGACCCCCAGTATTCATGAACTGTAGTTGCTTCTCTGTGCTAAAACTGTTTGGTTTGGTTGGTTGGTTGGTTGATTGGGTTTTTTTTGACTGGCATGTCACATCAGTCAAGACAGGCTAAGAACTAGTGACCCTGAAATGTAACAGGAGACTTAGGCACCGGCAAAAAGCTTCCCAGTAGCTATGCCAGTTCAAGGAATTCCCACCCCTACTTCTGCCTGCCTCCCACTTCCAGCTGCTCACTGCCCACCTGCTTCTGTATGAGCGCTGATGCCCCTTTTTCCCTTCAGAGCTCTTTTTAGCCTGGGTCAGTCACTGATCCAGTCCATAGGACATTGCCACAAGCAGTGTGAGGGGACGCACCTCTTTAACCCAGCAGGGCTGCCAAAGAAAGCCATACAGTACTGCAGCTCAACAGCAACGATAATTGAGCACAGAAATGGACTGCTAGGGGCAATTGTGAAATCTCTATTGTTGGTGAGTTTTAAAAGCTTCAAGGCAAACATCTGTCAGGAACAGTTTAGGCAGAGTTGATCCTCTCTCAGGACAGGGACCAAATGATCTCCCAGTCATACCAGCCCTATTTTCTAGAACACTTTAGGAAGAATCTCCAGTTTCCACATTCTTGCTATCACTCCTCGAATTATTTTAACAGTTTGGTGACATCCTGAAGACTACGTCTCCAGTATGAAAAGCAATACTCTGTTCCTATAATACTGCTATAGTTTACACTAGAAATAGACTGCCATCTGCTAGTGTAATCCAGCCCAAAGCGGAGGCAAGTGTATCATGGCATCCCACTTCTAGCAGGGCTTGTTTAACTGACCAACTACATAGATGTCAATGATTTCTTTTTCTTGCTTGCCTGCTGTGGGATACTATAAAAGCAGCTGATCAAGGGCTTCCTCGCTTCTATCACTTCTCTTCTAGCTGTGAGGTGAGAGAAAAATAGAAACTGCCGTAGGAAAGAAAGCAGAAGAAAATCTTCTGTAAAAGCAAAAAATGGAATGATAAACCAAAACAAATTACACACACAGGTCGAGAAGGGAGACATTTATTTTTCCAGTGTTTATCTAGCAGCCACAATAATCTTTTCATGAGGCTGCATAGGAAGCTATTACTCACAAGCTCCTCCCTACCTTTCCCATTTGAGGTTCTCCAATCAGTGCTCTGAATTCAAGGTTGTTCTGAGCATAACTTCTAAGGTGAGCACAGACATGATCCAGCTGTTTTCTCCAGTAACCTGATCAGAGAGAGTTAAGCAGGAGAAAAATTCCTGAAATTGCAATTAATGTTTCTTCTCCTCACGTGATGGATGATTTAAATATAGCATATTTCACAGAGACAAAAAAAAACATTGACTTTTTCTTTAGAAAATTAATCTGACCAGGAAAATGAGAAGCAAGGTACACCCTAAAAAAAGGTGAAATACTGTCTTATCCATAGGTTATAATTAATTCTTACGGCACCTCTATTCAGAACAAAACCATGTCGCAGAATTGTCCTTTGGAATCAAAACTATCCTTGTGCGAAGAAGAATCTCACGCTATTCCAGATCACAAAAAAAAAAAAAAAAGAAAAAAGTACAATGTTACAACTAAGCAACTGTGCATTATTAAACTGATTTTTTTCGTTGATTTGAGATCACTGACAGGTAACAGTAAGACAAATCTCAAAACTACTCAACCTATACAGCATTCTGGTCTGTGTAAATTATTCCCCAAATAAATGCCTTTCAATTATATATGGCAAAGCATATTAAAAGTTTTGAGCATTCCTGCTCTTTTGCTTGTCAGGATCTCTGGGAAAGAGTCAGCATTCCTTTATGGTGGTACAGGGCATGAAACAGGGGCTGAATGTGCCTGAATTCAGTACTCATCTTAAGCCATTTACAGTTTTTGAAGCTCCTGTCCAAGTATTTCTGAAGCAACGTTCTATTTTCATCAGAGAAATAAACAAAAGGACTTGTTCTCATTCTTAAGTGATTGTTATTAGGATCTGGCTAATTTTACTTTTGAGCATAGTTGTGGAAAGTACAGAGTATGATTTATTTTGTTGTAACTAAATTGCATAGGCTTGGTAACCTCGTTTAACTTAATAAAGTTACTCTGACCTTATCATTTCCTTCATGTTAAGTGAAGCCCAGAACAGTGAAAAGAAGCCAAGTCAGAAGAGGAGTGCTGCTGTCTGACTTTCACAAGAGAAGGTAAGTGCACAAGGATTTTTGTGCTTGGAGGACTCTTCCAAGATTGAACTGGTAGAAGCTATGTCAAACTCAATCAGCCAAAGAGCAGCTCTTATTTGCCAGGCAGCTTTAAAAGAAGGATAAAAAGAAGGATCCACAGAGTAACATAAATTGTTCCCTGCCATGGTCTCACATGCAAAAATACAAACTGAAAATAGTAATTAAAAAAAATCTAAGCTAGACAGCTACTTGGTGAGTGATCCCTCCAGAGAAGTGAGTATTAATTGCAATAAACTGATTCATAACTAGCCTAGATCCACAGATTCTATTTCAAAAAATCCAGATGGCCTGGAACATATTCTTGCATGTTTGACAATTTATTGCATCTAAAAGGATTTTTGGCAGCATTGATTGAACACGTGAATTCATGCTGCCAGTAGTTGATCACACCTATATCACACTGATTTTCTGTTTGCTACAGAAGAAAAGGAGAGGCTTCTTTGTAAAGTTTACCTGGTAAATTACTTGGCTTCTGTTCAAAACAGACTGAAAGTACAGCAAAAAAAGAAATACAGTACACATCAGAGGATACAGTGTTTTGGTACTGCTGTTATTTCCCCCTGCACTAAGTGGTTTTTTTTTGACATTCACAAACGAAAAGAAGGTTAGTTAATGTCTGATACGGTCAAGAAATTAAAAATAAAAAACTTATTTAATCACTTGTATTTAAAAACTTTAATATTGAATATCTGATACTATTTAAATTGAAGAAATAATGGACATATTTGGCATATATAAACAAGATTCTCCTGGATGATAGCGTATGGTCTTGTTGATACATGTAATTTCAAGCCATATATACAGCTCATCATCAAGGAAAGGGAACAGCATGAAAGACCTGACTCTAACAGACATTTATTGATTTCTAGAATGAATTAAGTTCCTCAGTCCTTGGCAGGATCTAAAGGAGAATACGTTACACAGTGCAACTTCAACAAAGTTGCCTCTGCTAAAGGGATAAAAATTGACATAATTCCAAAGCAGTTCAGAATTTCTTCTCAACCTTTCCCGGTGAATTCTCACTCACAAGTCAAGATCTGTACTTCTGATAGAGATAAATGAATATTCAATGTTACTTTTTTTTTTTTTTTTTTTTTTTCTGTCAGCACTATTATGGGCCAATCCTTTTTTATCTCTGACTAAATTAAGCTCCCTGACATGTTGAGTCAAGTGTTGTATTTCCTGCTGTGACGAGAACATGCCACATCTCAGAACAAGGAAGTAGGAAAACAGATTTCTCTAGTGATAATTTTAAAAATAAGAGTGCATCATCTAGATATTTATACACAGAGTCAAAACAGGAATTTCTAACATTAATTAGCAACTTTTTCTACCCAATAGATAAATAATTCTGATAACAGCCCAGGGAGTTGACCCCTGATTGTAGAAAAGAGCTAGAGATAGGAAAGCGGATCAAAAAAAGTAACTGCTCCTCCAAACTATGGTTTGATGCTGTAGCAATTTAAAATTATCTTATTCTCTGGACTGCACAGCTGGACTACCCTGGGAGACAAAAGACAATTTTGCAAATTGGGCCATTTATTAGGTCCCTAATTAATACTGATGGACTGCCTCCAAGGCTTTGGGATCCAGAAAGCTGAAGCTGAAGTTTTGCCAGGATAGTAAAACTTAAATCTCTAAAAACTGGAAATTTTTTAATGACAGCAAACAGTCAAGGGATTCCACAAAGAACTGACTGACCAAACCAGGGACTGTGAAACGGACAGCCTCTGCAATGAGCAATTTAGATGTACTGATACCTTTGAGGGTGGAAGATGGGGTCTATGAGAGCTCTCAAGGTTTCTACCAACCTATTTTTTGTAATCCTGTTAAGAATCCTTTTCTCTAGTTTAGTTTCCTTTGCTTCTGAAACTTCTATAATTTATTCCACAACAGCACCCCAAACAAGTTCTTCACACAGACAAGCCTCATCATATTTTTCAAGAGCTATGATCCCCTGCGTTTACCCCCAGCAAGCGCTACCGTGGTTCTGACTGAACTTCATGTTGCAGGGGGTGGAGAGGGTGCTCGGATGTGGGGTGGTGGTTCAGTAGTTTCCAATTCAAATATAGGACACCTGCTCTGATCATGTAGGATCTGAGGAAATCATACTAGCAAATTAGTAAGGCTGAATGGGGGTCAGTAACCATAATTTTTATATTGCTGATAGGCTTTCTTTTAGCTGTTGGTAAAGACCAGTGGTTGAATTCTAAGGCACTGCATTTACAAGTGGCTGGTGGGAAGACAGACTTGTAAAGATATAAATCAGTGACTACTGATGGCACGTTCCGTGGACTATAATCTTTTCACGAGAAAGCAAGGTGATACATTGCAGCTTTGTTTAGAAAACATGCAGTCAAAACTCCTAACCTTTTCCAGGACTAATGGCTGTCAGGAGAGGCTTATGATCACTTCTCTTTTCCAGCTTTTCTTTTTGTGAAATCAGCTCAAGCTCTTTCTTTTCCAGCAGTTTGCTAGATGGGTAAAAAAGTCCAATAGTTTGGGTTCCTTTATCTTCTCTTTCTTTTAGTTCTGCCCTTGATTTAGGCAAGGAAATAGGAAGAGGCTGCCAGGCAACTTGAGTTTGAAATTGTTTAGCCTGTGGGGGGTGGAAGAGAAGGGGAAGTGTAAGTAATATAATTAGATATAATTAAGTGGCTTACAAGCAGAAATTAACTAGAACAGTACACAAAATTGTAAAGGTATAAAAAAGCTAGCAGGAAGAATCATAAATAATTCTTGATTTTTAATCACCAGTCTGTAACAACGATGCAACTTATCACAAATATTCGAGGAAAAGCAAAACTCTTCATGATTGCCACCAGAATGGCATGTGTGTTTTTGTAGGACAAAAGCTGGCCTTGCTAAGCATTACGGTCTCTCTTAAAAGAGAGTTTTAAAACCACTATTATATGTGCATGAAAGAATACCTTGTATCAGCAGGAAACAAATAATTCACAAGTAGTAAGATAAAAATACTTAAAGAGCTAAGACTTTTGAAAAGCCGATTGTTTCTCACTTTGCTATTTAAAATAACACTGGATTAAGGCCTTTGGCTAAGGCTGCTTTTTGGCAGAAAGAAGTTCTCAGAATAAACATATCCTTGGTTTTGCCCTCTTCATGCTCACAGACCACAATGTTGTCTCAAAGAGGAAGCGAAGTTGTGCCGATCTAGACCTGCAGTTGACTAGCCTTTTAGCTGTGTTCAAACCTGGCTTTGTAATACTGTGTGTCTTACCTCGGAAAACCCCAGCGAGTCCCCAGTATCCCTGGGACTACCAGTCCAGGAACGCACCCTTGAGGGGGGCTCTATGTAATTACCACAGCACCCACAAAAACGAGCATATGGGTGGTTGCTTGTACCACACTTGAAACAAGTAAAGTAAGATGGAGGAGGTCCAGGCTGGAAAGATCAAAGAAACATTTATCACTATAGAAACATACATTGTATAGCTCAGAAATGATGAAAGCAGTGTCATGAATTAAAAGGAAGTAAAGTAGCACTACCTAAAGCTATTGGATTAGAAATATTAACCAGGATTCCAGACTGCTAACACACTGGCAGATGCAAGACAGTAAATCTTCAGATATCTCAGCACTGTGCTATGGAGGCAAACACTTTTTTCAGACAGGTCTAGCATTATGGTATGTGATTTTTTAACATATTCTTTAAAAAGTACTTATTTTTTGGCAAAGCAGTGTAGTTACTAGTTGGGTGCTCTGATACTGAATACTGACTGCAATTATTTCCATTTCATTTCTAACACCACCACCACCCTTTGAGTCCCCTAGTACAGGACAGGACCAATGGTTATGTGTGCGTATAGGGGAGTGATTCAAATTTTATGTAGACTCAGCTCACAGTAAAAGAAAAAATAGAAGTGATCTTAGATTGAAACACTATACCTATAAAAATATATGCCAGCGGAAATGGTGCACATCGATTGTACCCTGCAAAAGCTCTCCTGAGCAGCAGTTCAGTACTTGTCTTTACCGAAGTTAATGAGATCTTCAGCCAAAAAAATTGCATGCATCATCTCATGTCTGGTAATTACCTGTATAGGTGATCGTATCCCAGAGTATACATGGGAAAACTTGCATTAGGTTAGCCTATACTTTAACCTTTGATGGATAAGTTACTCTGGCAGAGTACACGGCTATTGCACCTCAGCTGATGCTCACTGACCCATGGTAATTTGTTTACATCTCTAAGTCTTTAAGTCACTGACTGACGAGGGGTCAGGATGTCATCTGAACCTTTAGTTTTTCTTTATATAATCCTATGTGCTCTAAACAAGTATTTTGATAATAATAAGCTGTGTACTAACTGACAAGAGTTTTGCAAAGAGAATTTTGAAATTGCTGCAGGTCACAGATGAGTAAAACCAGATTTGGCAGCACAAACACCGAGAGCACGTGCCTTGGCTCCACACCAGTCACAGAAACGGGCATCACGCTGGTTAACACGATTGCATTTTGAGCACAAAACTGTCTTCCTTTGCTGGCTGTGGTAAGGTGGGGGAGTGTCTCCTCCAAACATGGGCTAATAAAATAAAACAAGCATTAGGGATAAAATACTTCTTATGAAGAAAAGTTCACAAGCCAAATAAGGGGAAAGAGGAAAGCAAGCTACTTTGATAACATAAAGTAATATTCAGCCTAAAAGAATTATTTCAACTTAGAATAAGCAACAGACTGACTTGGAGCTAACCTGTAATTTTTTTTTTCATTACAAAACCACAGGAAAATGTGGCATTAATTAATTCTAAAATATTTTTAGCAGAATTAGTGCAAAAAAAAATTCCTTATCAATAGTGTCCTTTTACACTGAGTTTTTATTAATATGGCCCCACTCAAAATTAAGAGAGAGGTTTCTCTGCTGATAAACTTATATTTTCAAATCCAAAACACAACAGCTATTTTGGTTTGTACCTTTCTTTGTAGCAGTATGGCAGGGAGAGTGTGTTCAGACATTGAGTTTTCTCTCGGTTTGGTATTCCTACATAAGCACTTTTTTCCCCTCTTTTACCTCATACAAGTTATATATTATCTAGCTTTCCTACTACGATTAGCTGGTAAGTGTATGTAAAAGAAAACAGATTTTTCAGCTGAAACTTCTAGATGTTGAGTGTAGATCCAAGTTAGGACAAATAGGTCTTAGAAATGTTTTGTTAGGTTTTGCCTCAGGGCTTACGCAGTTACTGTTCTCTGCAAGTCAGGAACATGGACAAGGAACAGAACCCTAGGAAAATTACTTTGATTACAGACACCACACAGCAAGTAAGCAAACACAAAATAGCCCTATTTTCATATGTGGCCTGCACTGCAATTTGAACAATGTAATTTGGGGGTTCGTTTGGAAGATAAAAATTGCAAGAGCACAAGTCTAAATATGTTCTATATCTACATTATTTATAGCCATTAATAGTAATATCAGCATTATTACTAATTATTAATTATTCAGGAATTTCTATTGGTTATCACTAATTAATCACTATTATTAGTAAGATTTCTGATTACTATTAATAATTCTTAGTAAGCATTTAACTTTCTCTCAGCTACTACAGGTCTCGCCATTCAAGTCCTATGCCTAACTACATATGCAGCTACATATTAATATCTACATTCAGTGCAGCAGATAAACCTATGTTTATCTTGGGTAAATACAGATTCCTACCGAAATTCGCTTTGAAATAACACCTTGGCGGCTACACAAAAGACCTTTGCCTCTAGCTACTGACAACTTTAGAACTCAGGATGTTCCCAGTATAATCAGAAGATTTTAACTCGCACAGCATTATTCTGTTCTAATTTCTGTATTTACCACAACCTGGAGAAATGAAATGTACCATAAGGTTTTCATACAAGGCTTTTCTCTTAAGAAGTGAAAGTAAAATTCTTCTAAGGAACCAAATGAACAAGCTAAATGGGGAGTTGGAACAGACAGCAATTTTAGGGGGAACATTTATTATTGCTTGTCTCACCTCCGTGCAGTGTCACAGCCAAATAGGAGCATAGTAGCTGTATGCATGTAGGGGAAGCAGCAAATGGAGATAAGAAAAATAATGTAAAATAATGTTTTATTTTCACAAAATAATTGAAATCAATGAGACTGATCTTCCTGATGTATATAATCAAGTTTCCTATGCAACTGAAAATAATCTGAACACAGACAAGACTCCCTTGGAGTCAAGACTATCTGTTTTGTAAGAGCCTTCTCAGCTTTCAGAATGTCATTTGCAATCCTGACTTCCACATTTGAAACTTGAAGGTATTCGATACACTTATGTTTAGCTGGACATTTGTGATGCAGCATCTGTGGTAGTACTGGGCTTGAATACGGCATGGGGGTAGGAATCTCTGCTTTTGTAGCATAGGGATACAGGGATACGTCTTCAGTTTTCCAAAGAAAAAGAATGTTACGCTTTGATTTGATTAATCCTAGTGTGATAGATGCAAGAAGCCTTACCGTTTGCATTTCAGGCAGTTGGCTTTCACAAGTCACACAATGTTTATGGTGAAGAGGATTTCCTGTGCCACACACCTGACAAATTACTTTGCCCTTTTAAATAGAGAAAGAATATATTTCACGTTGTATTTGAAAACAGTGAACAATAATAATGAGGCAAGGACTCGATCTTCCAAAGTGCTGTGGTTATTCAGCCCTGCAGATGGAAGAGCTCCTTCCAAGCCTGTGCTGCAGGCTTCAGACTCTAGTTAGGTAATATTGCCTGGTCATCACAAATCTATGTATCTTGGTGACAATTTTTTTAAAAACTACGGTACAGTTCCCTCGGGAGTTCCAGCATCAATACCTCCAGATCTTTGTATATACTACTGTCAGTTTGCTTAGTCACTTCACTCACACAAAAAACAGATAGTCCAGTATCTGCAAGGAAAATTAATAATAATACTAACAATGTACTGTGATGGTGCCCTAAAAGATCTTAGCACAGTCTCTATTAATAAGCAAGTTCCCACTAGAGTGAAGAATAATGAGTGATATTTTGATAGTTGCCACCAAAGTCTGCCTTTGCACCTACGTCAGGGCTGCCATAAAACATTCAATTTGGGCCAATGTCTATAATCTTCTTTGACATCAAGGTGATAACTGCCTCAGGTAATGAATCTCCTTTGTTATCCGATAGTCTTCAGCCAGTAATTTCCTTTCAGAATCCTTCTCTTTCCAAAAATCTTCCCTTGCAATTATCACAGAATCACAAAGAGTGGTTGAGGTTGGAAGGGATCTCTGGAGGTCATCTGGTCTAACCCCTCTGCTCAAGCAGCGTCACCTAGAGCAGGTTGCCCAGGACCATGACCAGACAGCTTCTGAATATCTCTAAGGACGGAGAATCTACAACCAACCTGGGCAACCTGTGCAGGTGCTCAGTCACTCTCACAGCAAAAAAGTGTTTCCTGATGTTCAGACGGAATCTGCTGTGTTTCAGTTTGTGCCCACTGTCTCTGGTCCTGTCACTGGGCACCACTGAAAAGAGCCTGGCTCTGTTGTCTTTGCACCTTCCCTTCAGGTATTTATTTACATTGATGAGACTGCCTCTGAGCCACCTTTTTTCCAGACTGAACAGTCCCAGCTCTCTCTGTCCTTCCCCCAGACGCTCCAGTCCCTTAATCATCTTTGTGGCCCTTGGTTGGACTCTATCCAGCATGTCTCTCTTCTGCTGGAGAGCCCAGATTTGTACTCCAGATCTGGCCTCACCAGTACCAATTAGAGGGGAAGGATCACCTCCCTTGACCTGCTAGCAACACACTTTCTCAATGCAGCCCAGGATACCATAGACTTCTTTGCCCCAAGGGCATATTGCTGGGTCATAGTCATCTTGGTGTCCACCAGATCCTCGGGTCATTTTCTACAAAGATGCTTTCCACCTGGGTGGCCCCAAGTGTGTATGGGTGCAGGGGGGTTGTTCCTTCCCAGGTGCACGACGTTGCACTTTTCCTTGTTGAACTTCATGAGTTTCCTGCCCATCCATTTCTCCAGCATGTCCCTCTGGATGGCAGCACGAACTTCTGGTGTATCAGCCATTCCTCTCAGTTTTATATCAGCAGCAAACTTGCTGAGAGTACAGTCTGCCCCATCATCGAGCTCATTCATGAAGACGCTATACAGGATCAGACCCAGCCCCAACCCCCTGGAGTACACAGCTACTTACTGGCCCCCAGCTAGATTTCATGCCACTGATCTTAAGGAGATCGATCTCTTAAGGAGATGGTGATCCTCAGACAGGGTCCCGCTATCATAGAAACTAAAACCTTGTTGCCAACGCCAGCTCTGCAACCAATTGTGGGCATGCAGTATCAGTCCTCTCCTCCTCACCCCCTTTCCCCTGACCAGGGACATTGAGGAAGGCCCCTACCTGGCTCCCAATACCCCTGGGTAAGGAGCATTTTGTAGGGCAAATTTTGTCTAGTTAAGACCACCAGCACTTTTGAATCACTGACTAACACTGCACTTTAGCATTTTGGGCATATACCCACTGCCCCAGTCCTGCCACCCATCTGTGCACAGGACTGTGCTTATTTGCCATCAAATAAGGCAAGCAGAGTAATGAGGACATATTTAATAAACTTAAAATGCTGAGTAATATTAAGGCCATAAATCATAGAATCGTAGCATACCTCTCTACTGAATACAAGTGCATGAATTCCTGTCATTCACACTGCTACATCATGTGCTCTTCAGCATGTATTCCTGAGCTTATGTCGTTTTACCTTTAATGATTATTTCTATTCAAGGTGGTTTTAATCCTATTAACTCTTAAAGCTGTCATGTAATTATACAAACCCAAGCTGGATCACAATATTTGTAACTAAGTCATCTGTTAGAGAAATGCATGCCAGGAGGTAAATTGCTATTTTTAAACATTTATTCTCAATTACCTTTATGCAGATGTTCATTTGGGGCTGCAGCTGTGGAGCTATTGGTGACTCACATACAATGCAAGTAGGTGTATTCATTGGCACAAGATGTCTGCATTCAGGACACGGTGCCATCTGAAGAAAAAGCCACATCACAGCATGGTAAGGGCCATAATAAGATCGTTAAGGTTATCATGAGATTTTCAACATTTCCCTGGTTGGAGTCTACATTAGCAGCAAAGTCACTGGAAACATAGCAACTGACAGCAAGAGATGCTGATATTGATCCTTAAAGATAAAAGGCTATTGAGAAAACATGAAGACAACTGGAAGGAGAATGCTTTACTGACTACTAAAAATATGACAGAAAGGTACTGAGTTAATTTGCAGTAAAGGTAAAATGCTGCTATAAAATGCGTGCAGGTTGTTTGAAATCCTCCTAGTTATGAACCTACTCTAAAGAAGTGGTGAATATTCTCCATCATCACTTGAAACTACAGCATTGCCCCAGACAGGACATCTTTCTGATGATACAGGAAAAAAACTACACCATTGACTTGTTAGATCAGGTTATTATCTCTTGGGAAGAGCTTAAAGACAGTTACAGGTATCATTGCAAAAAACTCGGTGCTCTTACATACGCCCACACATGCCACTGCTTAAGGTTTCACACATATTAGGTGGACCTTCTACTTTTATGACATAAGCACTAGTTACTAACTAACTAGCTGCACTAGTTAGCACTGGAATAAGAGGCATATGCAGGTCCTGAATATGCAGCGGTTGTTGTTGCAGGATGAGGAGGAATCTGAATTTGGTAATGTTTCCTGACACAGGTGAATAAAACACAATTTACTTTTTCATTGTTATCCTTATTAAAATACATGGTCCTTGAAGCAATCTACAGTTAATTTTGCCAATCCTTTGAGAATTACATTGGATCCGCTGCTAACGGTACTGAACAAAATAAAACAATCAGAACAGAACTTCCCAAATGAAAGTGTGACTAAATAATGTTTTTGCCAGCACTGAGCAGGTAATTTGCTGAGGAAGCTGGCTTCTCCCAAGAGGGTTTGTTGATGGTTACAGTGTTTTGCTGACCTTCGCTCCTTCAGGGGGTGGGAAGCGACAAACTGGCACAGGTGGGATAGGAGATCCACATTCCTGACAGAAGTGAGCCAAAGGGTCAGACAGGCGAGGTGCAGAACAGTGTGCACACCTGAAAATAACAGCAAACTGGCTGAGCTTGTTTTGGTGTTGAACTGCTCCATAATAATGAATAATCTGGAACGTGTTGTGACAGGACTTAGGCCACGGATTTCTCAGTCGTTTCCAAGCTGTGGTGGTCCATCTGACCGTGCCCCAGCATCCATGAGACGAGGTTCTGAACTCTAAACAGCTCTGCAACGTAGGAAGCTCTCTGGCTGCTGTGGAGTTTCACACTTCTTCCTCATCGTGGGAGGTAAACAAGTCTCCTAACACGCAATCTGTATCAGGCCCCACTGCTGCAACGTGGGGAACCACTGATGTAGATCCCATAACCCTTTCAGTACTGATACGCACGAACATTCTGTGAGATTGCTCTGGTGAGCAGTTTTCACCTACAGCAGTGAGGGCCGTACTCTACTTTGGAAAGACAGCTTTTGCTCTGATCCTACAGGTGTTAGGAATTTTTTTTTTTTTCAAAGGATGATAAGGTAGTTGATAACTGCGTATGGCAAGATGTAAATAAAACTATATTGTAAGAGAAAGAATTTTGAAAGTCCTACCTGTATCACATTCTCCAGTTATGAACCAGTGTCTGTCTTTGCCTTCTTAATTTTTATAGAGCCCCACAGTATTATAAACTTGGTTGCAAAAGGCAGTTGCTCAGTTACTTTCCAAGGACAAATATGTTAAAAGGAGAGGTCTCTTACTTGAGGAAATCTGTTTCCTTCCGGATCCTTGCCACTTGTGTGCTTGCTAGGCTTTTCCGGCTAGTCACTACAGAACTAGAAAACTGAAATAAGGGTTACTCTTTAGCCTTAGTAAGTGAATATTTGCAAAATGAGTGTAAGAGTAACACAATCAGCTAAAGATGTTATTTGAGACAAACTACACTGAAATGCATTGTTTTAAGGACTATCAGCTACACTTGATTCCCCCATTAGCTGCACTTAGAACCCACAGCTTCTTCCAATTAAAAAAAAAAAAAAAAAAATCAGTGTCTTGCTATTTACTTCCAAGACAGCATTACTGAATAATAAGTTTTAAGTATCGACTTGCCAACATATAGCAATAAGTATTTGGTAATTGCAGATTCGGTAATATATTAGAAGAGAATTAGTAGGAATGCAGGCATTGTTAATTTGCTTTGCCTGGTTTTGCCCTTACTGGTAACTGTCCACTGCCTTGGGCATTTGTATTCTAGTGCGTCATTACCAGTAAATTTAAATTAGTACTGTATAATACAGCCAAACACATTAGTTTCTGAGAGATTATATGAGAATGGTCACGAATCTTCACATCCTTATTTTTTTAGAGCTCAGTTCTGATGACGGCCTGTGTACAGTTTTCCTCAGCACCCCTTTTCTTACCTGTAGTGACTGTGTTGGTAGTGCTGAGAGGGATTCCTCTCCGTACTCTGTTGTTTCCAAATGACTAGTGAGGAGCTGTGGTCCTTGCAGGGATCTGTGAGTAGTCTTTCCTTCTGTTTCCCAGTCTGAAAGGACAATCCTGTTATTCCACTGTCATTCATTCATGTAGTTAACATATATCTTAGGATTAATACTACATACTCGTTTTAAATTCCAATAGCTAAAGATGTATTTGACATCCAGAATTTGGGTTCAAATAAACTGCACAGAATTACAGGAAATTAAACGAGAAGAAACCTCACTTCTCTCTGAAAGACTTTATTTTTGTATTTTTCTCTATTTATGGGTTTCTTCCTTCTTGTATGCTTAAAAACCCCCCGGTTCCCAAGAGTAAACTAATGAGTAAACATTAATATGTTTCCCTGTTCTTAAACAGTCCCATTGCTTTTACCATGGAAAAATGGGCTTTATCTATAGAGATAATCTGGGTCAAGCTTCCATTTCTGCTTTGTGCATTTATTTTGGAATCTTACTACAAGCAAACATCGGCAACGAACTCTGGCAAGGATTTGCAATCCCATCAATTTAATAGCCTTTTCTGGCACAAAGGGAAATATAGACTGGGCCTTGTTATGTCGCTGAGAAATTAATGACATTTTAGTATATTTTTAAGAGGTAATGTGAAATGCATGGAAGGTAATTTTTGTTCTCTATTTGCAGTGTTGAGCAATCAGAATTGGAATTCCTGGAGGATGTTCTGTCTTCTGAGATGGTTTTAAAATTACCCATATTTTACCAGCGATATAAGAGGAAAACTTTACACTATTTTCAGCTAAGACGGAAGTCTATTTCAGTTTTACGAAGTAATACTATACCTTGAAAATCTTGAGGTGCTTCACTCCAGGCAGGCTTGATTTCCACATTCACTCTACTTTTCCTTGGTTTTGTAGTAAACATTCCACCTTCCATCTCCTAAAAAGTAATTACATTTGAATTCCAAATGAAATTTTTGTTTTTACTCTAATCCTCTCTTGCAGTAGCTATTTGCTATAATTTTAAAAGTACATGGTTAAGGTATTTATTTTCAACGCAAGAATTTGAAAATCCTCAATTATAAATGTATCGTTAAAATATTTGACCCGAACTGGTCATAAAAGACCAGTGATAAAAATAAAAAAAAATAATGTATGCCCTTGAAATTTTAATATTACAAAAAAGGACCAAGGCAGAAAACATGGTCAGACAGAGAAACTATATTAAAAGTATAGGTAGTCTCTAAGTAGTATCATACATACAACATTTTATGTTCACACAAGGGGTTACAACTGTTAAAACTTACCTGTGTAGCGATATCTTTTAGGAAATTATTGTCGTCATCTTCAACAGAGGGAAGAATGTTTGGTTGCCTGTGCTCTACCAGAAACACCTTTGTTACAACTGTACTCTCCCTGCAGTCCCTGAAAACCAATGTTCACAAAGCTATATACATGCCACAAACCCATGTGCAGCAAGTAAATCACTGATGAACACGGCTCATTTGCTGGAACATCTCTTCCAAGCTTGCAAGTCATTTTTTCAGTTAATAAGTATAATCCTGGACAATACTCTCAGGGACTGCTGCTTTCTTTTGGTGGGGTTTTTGTTTGTTTGTTCGTTCATTGGTGGTGGTGGTGGTTTGTGGTTTGGGGTGTTTTTTTTTTTTTTGTAAGTTTAAAATGTGCACAATTAGAAGTTACTGATAAAATATATGGACACCTTAATCCCTCGACATCTTTTACATGTAAAACTTTTGATGCTCCTGTGTCTGCTTTTTGGGGTAACTACTGTTTGCCATTGTTGCAGAAAATAGAGAGCAAGATTCTTCTTCCATTCATAATACCATGTTAATTTTCCAAGTCAAATAGCAGGTAGCACACTATTTATTTGATAAAACAACTGTACTTCTCTACTATTTGTTAAATTACAGAAATAACATCGAAATTGCTATAAATGCCCAAACCATTCATTTAGGATTTATCATTATTCTAGCGCATCTATTCAGCACACCTGAAAAATCTTAACAAAAACATACTGGAAACAAGTATTAATCTAGGTAGTGTTATCAGAAAATACATCTAGGCCTAGGTTTTGCATGACCCTGTGCAGGGAATGTAACGCTATTCTATTCCTGTGCAGACACAAGCAGAGGCTACCCGCAGGTGCTGATAGCAGGGAACAGCAAGCAAACATCCCCAACTGGAGTGGAAGTTTCTGCTCCCTGGGAAATAAAAGATAGTGCAACCGGGTACAGACAGAGAATTCATGCGTCCTCTCTCTAAGCATGAAGTTAGTTTGGAGAGTCAGTGGCTGTGCAGCAAAATCCAGTTTTCTTTCTATGTATTGTATTTTTACTTTACCCTTGCACATACAACATTGTACTTAAGCTGTGACGTTTAGCATTCTGTGCTCCTTTGGGAGAAACTAAGCAAATTCCTGGGAGGACCAACTTCTAGAATTCCGCTGGATCACTGGATGACCCCAGAAAACATGGTACGAGTTCCTCTGGCATTTCTGATGATCATGCTCAGCAGGATGAGCTATGAGTATAGTATATTTTATTGGTTTCTCACCCACAGCCTCAATGGATCATTGGCCTACATCCACAGCCCAGGAGATAAACATCTGAGACATAATCCAACTGCACAAACACTTAATGGATAAAAAGCATTATGAGAAAGTGAAGTCGGGGAAACCCATGAAGATCACTCAGATTGCAATCTGGATGGGGAAAGGGACATCTCTCATTTGCGAGGTATAGAGGGTGCTTTAAACAACCAAGCTGTGACTGGGATATCTGTCCCTTGCCAAAATATGACTAAAATAAACCAGGACACTTACTTTGTAACTGCCAGTGCCTTGACCATTATTTTCCCGACTGGTAATATGATAGGACCCTTATACTTAAAAGTGTTATGCTCTCCATAGCCAGGTTTCCTAATGAGTTCTGGTTTACTTCCATCTAAAGTGTAATAAATAGAGACCTCAGGTGTATCTGAAAGACACAGAGAAAGTAATTAGCCAAACTGTACCTAACCTGTGAAAAACAAGCTCTACTCTTCAAAATACTCACTACTGTGCTTGATTTTTCTCACGTAAACAAAATACATCAGTTCCATAAATGACTGATTGTTTGGGATCAAAACTGTTTCTCCCATGAAAAATTAGTTAATAAATGCAATTTCATTGTAAGCGATATTACTCTTTATAAAGAAGCTGTGCAATGGTTTTGTATGAAAACATTGCAACAGATTGTCCATTCTAATGACAGAAAAGATATTTTCTCCTAAGGTGAAAGATGACTTTTAAAAAATTGTAAAAAGACCTTTTGTGGTGAGAACTGGTACAAGATACTTTCAAGCCCTGTTTTTGCATTCGAAGCGAAATACAACAGTTTAAGTGCTTGATCTTGGAAGCAATTAAGACTGCTTTCATAGATGAAATTACTCATGTCAATATTATTGTTTGAATGCATAAAATTAAGTGCAAGTATTTTTTGTGTATCAAAACATGTCAGTTACTTTTATAGGTTCCTTAAGGAAGTGGGCCTCATAAAAATCCTAATTAAAGGCAAACAAAAGTATAGAGGCTACAAGTTTCAAATGAACATGTAAGCACAGCTTTTACGTAGAGTCAGAGCTCTTATTCATACCTGATTTTATTTCTACGAGAGTATTTGTGTCTATTTCATGTTTAGCCTTCCCTGGAAGAGGGATTCGAAGTGGTATGACCTGAGGAACTGAGACAGCTCCAGCTGCCATTTTTCTCAGCAGTGATCTTCAGAAAAGAAAAACAAAAGGCAGACGATAATTCTTCTCAACAGCAAAATGCATTGAGAAATACAGTCTTTTAATGTCTTAATTTATCTTAAAAAGAGAAAACACCAGATTTTTAAACTGTTAGTTCTCATTAATATCTGCATGATTTTCACGTTGAAAAGGAGCAAGTTCCTGATGACCATCACACTTCTGACTTGTTCTCCTACTACAGAACTGTGAACAAAGCTTGAGATGAGCACTGTCGCTCTCGTTTCACTTTGGTTTTCCTTGCTCAAAGCTGATTTCCATGTATTCAGACTTTAGCATCATACATCAGTGATACACTGTAAGAGTGAGTAACAGCAAAGTATCTCCACCCTAACCGTGGCAGATGTGGAACTAGCATCTTGTTTTATTGTGTCCATCTGAATAGATACAAGATACCCTGAAAAGGACTAAAGCAAGACAGTTGTTGCTTAAGCTTATCTCTGCTATCATGTGTATTGAGAATATACCTATCAAACAGGCACCAGGCATGATTTATAATAATTATCACGTCACACAAATCAAGAATGAAAAATTGCATTTGGATACGATAACATTTTACAATACCAAAAGATGTACTCCAGATCTTGGGAATTGGTACTCAGGGCCAGGAAACACGTCTACACTAGAAGGATTCGGTTTTGTGACCAATCCTTCAGTCCTCCAGAAACGTCTCTTAAGCTACTCATCAGCGCAGACGGTCGTGATCGAGCACCGGAGGCGTTCGTTAGCCTCGCTGGAGCTGTGAGGAGGTAAGCCGCGGTGGGTGGAGGAGGGTGGGCAGTTCCCAGGCAGACCCCCTCGGGCTGCACGCAGTGGCATGGGAGCCACAGCCACCGGTGGGTCAGCCCTTTACCCGACACGAGGGGGCAGAGGGTGTTTTCCCTCCAGGACCTGCCTGCTCTCGGCGTGCCCGGGCCCAAAGCACTGGTCCCAGTTCCAGCCCCCCGGGAGCCCGTCACCCGTGAGACACCGTCGGTCCTGCTGCCACGGCCGGCGTGCCCGGGCCCTGCCCCAGCATGGGCTCCCTCCCTGCCTGCGCTTGCCCCGCCACGACGAGCCCCGATTCCTGTCCCCCCACCCCTCAGCCCACCCCACCCGATCCCACTCCACAGCCCCGCCCACCCCACCCGATCCCACTCCACAGCCCCGCCCACCCCACCCGATCCCACTCCACCCCGCAGCCCTGCACACCCCACCCGATCCCACTCCACTCCACAGCCCTGCCCACCCCACAGCCTCGCCCACCCCACTCGATCCATGCTACTGAGCCCCTTGCCCAACCCACAGCCCACCCTGCCCCACTTGATCCCAGCCCACAGCCCTGCCCACTCTACTCGATCCATGGTACTGAGCCCCTTGCCCACCCCACTGGATCCCACTCCACACCACAGCCCTGCCCTCCCCACTCGATCCCACCCCACAGCCCTGCCAACCCTTTTTGATCCCACTCCAGCCCACAGCCGCGCCCAACCCCACTTGATCCCACCCCCCAGCCCTGCCCACCCCACTTGATCCCACTCCACAGCCCCGTCCACCCTACTTGATCCCTGCCCATCCCACTCGATTGGTACTACTGAGCCCCTTGCCTGCCCCACTGTATGCCACCCCGCCCTACTCGATCCCACCCCACTGCCTTGCCCACCCAACTCGATCCCACTCCACCCCACAGCCCTGCCCACCCCACTCGATCCCACCCCACTCCACAGCCCTGCCCACCCCACTCGATCCCACCTCCCAGCCCCGCCCGCCCCACTCGATCCCACTCCACAGCCCTGCCCACCCCACTCGATCCCACCCCACTCGATCCCACTCCACAGCCCTGCCCACCCCACTCGATCCCATCCCACTCCACAGCCCTGCCCACCCCACTCGATCCCACCCCACTCGATCCCACCCCACAGCCCTGCCCACCCCACTCGATCCCACCCCACTGCCCTGCCCACCCCACTCGATCCCATCCCACTCGATCCCACCCCACTCGATCCCACCCCACTCGATCCCACCCCACAGCCCCGCCCGCCCCACTCGATCCCCAATCCCCCCGTTACCACAGACGCCGCGCGCCCGGCCCCGCCCCTCCTCCCTCGGCCCTGCCAGCTCGGCTGCCCGTTGGTCCGCGTCTCGCTGCGTAGCAACCGGCCCCGCCCCTCACCGCCGCGCCGTTCTGACGTCCTCTTGGCGCGTCGCTCGCTCGCTGGCGTGACGTGTGTGTGGGTGCGCGCCGCTGCGCCATGGCGGAGGTGAAGGTGAAGCCGGAGGTCCTCGACCCCATGGAGATAGAGAGCAGGTGCGGGGCGGAGGGCGTCAGGGGGTGCCCCGGCGGCGGCGGGTGTGCTGGGGGGCGGCTGCCGGGCGGGCGGGGGGTGGGCGGGGGGTGTGAGGGGGGCTGAGAAGGGGGCGGCGGGGGGGCTGTGAGGCGGGCGGGCAGGGGGCGGCGGGGGGCTGTGGGGGGGCGGGCGGGGGGCTGTGAGGCGGGCGGGCGGGGGGCTGTGGGGGGGGCGGCGGTGAGGGGGGCGGCGGGGGGCTGTGGGGGGGCGGGCGGGGGGCTGTGGTGGGGGCGGGCGGGGGGCTGTGAGGCGGGCGGGCGGGGGGCTGTGGGGGGGGCGGGCGGGGGGCTGTGAGGCGGGCGGGCAGGGGGCCGTGGGGGGGTTGTGAGGGGGGCGGGCGGGCAGGGAGGCGTGAGGGGCGCGGGCAGGAGGGCTCTGAGGGAGGCGGGCGGGCAGGGGGGCGTGAGGGGGGCAGATGAGCGATTTAGATGGCTTGAAGAAGCGCCATCAGAGGTATTAGCCAAAAGGGGCTTTAACAGGAGCTTACAAAAATGCAACGTAACAAAGTTCTATGGCAAGGCTCACTCTGTTACGTACAAGATGCAAGAAGCATAGAAAGGAAAATGGAGTTAGAGTTGAGCCAGAATGGCTTAGAGTTTGGAATCTGTAAGGGAGACCCTCCTGTTGAGTCCTAAGGTTCAGAGCGGACCCCCTCGCTCTCTGAATGCGTGATGGAGCTTAGGGGCAGCTAGGTCCAGTCTTAGTCTCAGGCTTGGACAATGCTTTGTGTCTAATGGGATTAGCTATACAAAGTTTATGATAATTAACACCAAGAATCAATTTCACTTGTATTAACTTAGCATGCTCTCAGTCACTTACTGGGGGTCTGGTGCAAGTCAGAGGTCTCTCCACATTGGGTAAGGAGGGTTCTCTTAGTCTCCGGTAAGGAATCTCGAACCTGGAGAGGTGTGCCTGCTCAAGGGGAGAGTCACCTGTCGTGCAGTCCGGTTGGAATTTAGTGAGGCCTCTAATTAGACTCATCCAAAGATCAGCCGTTGCTAAAAGGTGTCTCTGCCTCGAGGAGCAACCTTGAGAGGCATCCCAGCTGAAGGGGAGGTCACCGCCACGCAGGGGCAGCTCAGAGAAGGCTCACTTAGGCTGTCATATTTCTGGAATAAAATGGTTGGCTTGTAGTCAAATTGCATACAGTGGGAAAGGTATGCGTGAGACTCCTTGTACCCACAACTGTCTTTGTTCCTTGATGAATGAGTCTTGGCTAAGCCACGTTTTTTTCACGTTTCATGTGTTAACTGCATGATTAGTGTTCCAAGCTCAGGTCCACAGACGCTCGCTGTCTCTCTGCTCCTTTGTGGGTTTCCTAGAGGAGTTCTTGGCCTGGCTACAGGTCAAGCCTTTACCTCCTTTAGAGCCTGTACCAAACTATTGCAAGTGTGGTTAAGGAGTCGAGTGCATCCATCGCAGGCTGGGAGGTGCTGAGGGGGCAGTGAGGGATGGGGTCAGGTTGCCTTTGGCTGCCCTAGTGTCCTTCTGTTGTTGGAAAATTTCACAAAGGGGAATTGCAACTTTTCTGCATGAGGTTATTGCTTTCTAAATGGTATTTCACCAGTATTTGCATTCACTGACTAGCTAGCACTTGCTTCCCATCAGAACCTTTTGTACAGTGAAACTGTACAGGGAACTCTAAATCCATGTACTCAATAACAAGAGCAACGTAAAAATAAAATGGAGCACCATGTTCAGTGTTACCACAAAGAACAAAAGTAGTTTGTCCAGCAGTTGCTGAGGCATATTTTTCAGCACGGAAAGTAGATTATAAGTTCCCTTAATAGATATGACTGAGAAACAGTTCACGGGTACTTTTTCCTTGAGTTGTTCTTTTCCCTCTCTTTTATTCTGACTTTAATACTGTTTGGATTTGGTTTTGGATACAACAGAACATGATTTTAAACTTGCTTTCATCTTCCCCCAGGATCATTGAGCTTTGTCATCAGTTCCCTCATGGTATCACAGACCAGGTGATTCAAAATGATATGCCTCACATGGAAGCCCAGCAGCGAGCCATGGCGATCAACAGGCTGCTCTCGATGGTAGGGGTGATCTAACCTTCCTCATGTTACTTCAGCCAGCCCAGAGCACTCTTCATACACACAGTCTGCATGGCAGCAACCTGTTAGGCAGGTCTAGCAAATTAATCTCTTTGGATTTAGTGGCATTTGCCATAATGTACAGTTACCATATCTTACTTCTGGTTGCCATAAGTGCTTATGATTGCTAAAGCCAATTAAAACTTATCTCAGTTTACTCTTTCCATTCTGCAATACAAAGCTACCATGAATGTGTATATCCCTGTGGGTTTCTAAGTGAGGAAGCTACCACTGAGAAGTACGACATTTGTTTTTTTATATGTTTAAAGTTCTTTGGTCTACTTTTCTCTGTGTATTACTTTGTAAAGCAGAATGTGATACAGTGGTGTAATGTAACAGTCGGGTGCAAGTGTAGTTGCAGTGGTTCAGTGGGTGGCGAGAGGATGATAACCACAAGGCCCATTAATGATGGAGAATGAATTAGAGATAAAAGAATGGATGTTTATCCTATGCTCTTATATGTGAAGGTCTTATCTGAACCAGTTACAAAATCTCAAGGTTGTGGATTACTCTGATAACAAGCAGAGGAAAGATCTCAAGGGATTTTTTTTGCATCTTCTATAAATTTCCTACATCTCACTGGGCGTTTTCCTTTATTGTATCGAGTCAACCTAAGGTAGGAGCAAGGATCACTGTCACCTACTTCTGCCACATGTTTAGGAACAGAGTAGCTGATTAGACTTGTTGATTCAGTGTGGCATAAACTTGAGTATCAGCTAAACATCCAAGGTCTTTAAAGATCAAGAATCTTTTTGGTTCCCTAGCTAGCTGCTTCATGGGCACGTGAAGTCGACAGATAACACAGACTGAGTGGTACAGTGGAGAGAGCACTGTTGAAAAGAGGGGTGTTGGAAAGTATCCAAAATGAGCTAGGTGTGGTGGTTGGTTGGTTTGTTTGTTTGTTTTTAATAATTGAAACTTCTTAGCTTGGACCATACTAGGTGGCACTTGAAGTAATCTAAATGCTTTCTTTTTGGTCTTTCTGTTATAAATATGAGGTTTATCAGCACATTGGACATGAGCTTGTGTGTTCACTAACTTTTGAATGACTTCCCTACATTTCACAATGAGGTTTCAAAGATAGTTAAGTCTCTAGAATTTGTTTAAAATAGATGCCTTGGGGCGTGGAGCGTGTGTGGGGGAGATGTAGTAAGTTCCTCAAACATGGGGAAAAACTGCAGTGAGAGGTCAGCCTTAATAAGCATCAGGTAATTCACTTGAGATAAACTGCAAGTAATTAATCTGTAGAAAAGCATTGAAGGGGGTCATCTTGAGGTGTGAGCTTCAATCAACCACATCATGTAAATCTATAAAAAACAAGACTGTAACTATGGGGAAGGGATTAGCTGGCAATGAAAGTATGAATGTTAGTTAATGCTGTTATACACAGTTATGCTCTTGGGCTTGTCTAATCGCTGCCTTTTCAAAATAGAAAATAAGAATTTGCCTGGCCTAGGCAGAAGTGTCAAGGACAGAACCAATGTTTTGTGTGCAAGAGATCCCAGTAATTTGCTTATGAGAGGCACTGTCAATCCTTGCTGGCAGTTTTCCAGTGGTCTCTACTTAGTAAAAAATGGAACTTTGCTACTAGAACTCATAATTGTTCAGAATTTGTATAGTAGAGCTCCTATGTGATTTCTGGGTAGCTGTGTAAATGAGTGTTGGGGTGGAAAGGAAGAGCAAAGTATACAAGATCTTGATGTCCCTTGTGCAGTGGTGAAAGTTAGGAGAACTAATAGGAAGTGCATAGATATTGTGGGAAGGGGCGGGAACTGTATTTGTTATTTCCGATAGCTGCTGATAAATGGATACTTGTAGGGGAAAAAATGTCCTCAAGGGTATTACTGTACTCGCTGGGAAAAAAAATATCCTCATGGGTATTATTATTTCCAGTGGTTAGTAATGTTTTCCCTTTATTCAGTTGACATAAAGTAAGGTTTTTAATTTAGAATATCAGAGGATTCTTGCCAAGTTCTGAAACAAGGTCTTTGAGGGAAAGTAAATGCATTGTGCCCATCTCTCCTAGGGGCAGCTGGACCTTCTCAGGAGCAATGCAGGTCTCCTGTATAGAATCAAAGAGTCTCAAAATGCAAGGTAAGCCTCGTATTTGCTGGATAAATGTATTTGGAACGCCGTTCTGCAACTCACATGGCAGCATTGCTGAGAATACACTCAGCAATGTAATATGGATGCTGGAACATGGATGTTACTGCTTGTTTCTGGAGGGTACACTTAACTCCCCTTGAGCTGATCCTGAAAGCTGTTTTAGGTATAGTGTTTTCTACCGAACAGAGGGTGCCGTGGGGCTACAGTTCTAATTTGCTGTCAGAGTTCCTGGTCCAGATGACAGCAAAGTGATCTGTACAAACATATGTATGTGCTGAGGTGAAATCCAATTGAAGCATGACCATACCATCTGCGAAAAGTGGTTCTGTGGTCTTCTTCACTGCTGATGTTACAGGATCAGCGCTCATATTTACAGCTGTTCCAGGAGGCCACTTGGACTACTACTCATGCTCTTTGATTTATTAAAATGTGCCTTCAAAACACGTCTTGTGATGCTTAGGTAAATCTGAGTAAAAGGTCCCTAGACATAAGTCTGGAAAGAAATATCCTTCAAAATTATGCCCGGTGCAGGCATGTCATCCTACCTTTCAAATGCTTTAGAAAAAGATTGCTGAGTTCAGGCTATCTCAGACCAATGAAAAGGCGTGTCTTAGAGTTGGGAGCACGCTACTAACCTTCTGTAGACATTTTGTCTAGAGACAGATTATCCTAAATTATGCTTCGTGCTGTGTTTGACCTTTCACAGTTGTGTTAGTACGTGACTCTGAATTCCCCATTGTTATGACAAGTTGAGTGACTCCTTCTTAGTCACTTTTCTTTCATACTGTGCTCTTTTCTCTTTACTGTGGCTTCTCACTGCCGAGCTTGGTTTGATCTTGAGAGGTTTAGTGTCATGTATTATATTTGCCAATGGCTGACTTATTGTGTAGGATTTTTTCTTTTCCTTTGTGCATTGTTATTTTCAGTTTAAAACAAATCCAACTTCTTTCAAAATTTGGACCTTTCAAAAATCCTGATGTCTGTCTTATTTTACAGTAAAATGAAAGGCTCTGACAATCAAGAGAAGCTGGTTTACCAAATTATAGAAGATGCAGGCAACAAAGGTAGTTTCAATAAATTATAATCGTGAATGGTACTAACCCTGTTTACCTGAGGAACTGTTCCTGTCCAAACTTTTAAATGCTTGTCCAGACAATACAGATATAAAATTTAGTCTCCATACCAGGTCTGTAGCTAATGTTCCACGTGTCCACTTCTTAAAAACAGAAGATGACCTGTTTCTCTATTAAAATAACAACCTGTCCTGGTTGACTTTTGGAGTGGGCTCTTTCAGAATGTATGGAGTATGGATTACAAGTTATTTATGGGATTGTTAAACTGAGGAATCCACAGAACACTGACTGCTATCACTAGATAATCCAATATAGAGAACATATTTTTAACGGGTGTATTGCCAGCAGAAGCCACTAGTAACTAGGCTTTCTCAGCATTCATTGCACACTGTGGTTGAGAGATGGCTGCTAGAATTGGCTGTTGTATTTTTTTGAAAAAACACAAGTTACCTAAAAATGCAAAAACATTTCTGTGAGGTATTCATGTGGGCAGTGAAATGGGGTTCACCTGTAAGAGCTCTTGGAGGAGAGGTAAAGGGCAGAAGGGCAGTGTGGTGATTGTGGTATGCATTTCTTGGTTTTGTCAGTTGTTATTTTTGTTCCATACCCTTCTGTTTTCTCCCTCCCTTTTGCTGGGAGTGGTAGAATCGAGGGTACATCCTATGGTTGGCAAGCGAGTCAAGCAATGTTGTGATGTGACTTTGGATTGTGAGTATGTACAGAAACAAGTGGTTGCTTCTATTAATTTCTGTTCACTTTTCTGATTTTAAACAGGTATTTGGAGCAGGGACATTAGATACAAAAGTAATTTGCCTTTAACAGAGATCAACAAGATACTGAAAAATTTGGAAAGCAAGAAACTAATTAAAGCAGTTAAATCTGTAGCAGTGAGTATTTTGTGACTTTCTTTTTAAAGAATTTCAAACATTTGCTGCATGTTGTATGTGTTTGAACGTAGGACCGGGAGCAGAGAAACCTCGCTCTCTCTCCAGCTTTCTCACTGACTGTGCACCAGTGTTTGACTCTCTGCCTTTAGTATGCAGGTTTGAGGCGCAACAGATACGAGAGGTTGTAATGTTTATTAAATAATCAACATACTACTAACAAACTGATTAATAATCAAATTAATAGACACATCACTTAATATACAGTTCTCTCACTCTTTCCACCACTACTAATCACACACCATTACTATCAAATTGCAGTTTTAGTTCTCTTAATTCTTTATTGCACACAATTTGTTAGAGTTCTGGTACCCATTGCAAGCCTCTCGCGCTGCTTACTACTAATCTGCAGATCTGTCACCATTTTTGCTGTGCTTCCATACCCACCCGGTCTTTAGGACATAAACCTAGGGAAGAATCCGGTAGGTTTTCCTCCTGCATTGCAGTGGGCTTGTGTCCACAGGCCATCTTCTCTGCTGTCTGTACACATTCACGCTTCTGCTGTCTGCAGATCCTGCCCTCTCTTATTCCCTGATTTTTATACCACCATCTTCTTTTTTGTTTCTTAACCCTTTTTTTTCTACCACCCTTTTCTCATTTCTCCAATCAAATAAGCAACCTGCCTGTAATTACTTCTTCTCCATTGGTCCCAGTTTTGCCATACCTCAGTTTGGTATTTCTGACACTGAAGCAATCTCAGCCTTTTGTATGGGATTAGTGATGTAGATACCTAGCTGCAAGTGGCTTTGCAAAATTCCTCTCTCCCAGAGATCCTGAAACTCCCTTCAGTTGTGCAGTTCACGATGGACTTGTACTGTTTACTTTAAACAATTTCTAAGACACTTGATTCTGTTCTAGTCTTGGTTCCTCTACTTTGTTCCAGCTACTCAAGTCCTTTCTTATCTTACGTGCAAACAGTCCACATACCAGAGTAGGGCTTATCCTTTCCCATGCTTTTTCTCACACTGTTATAATGCTCATGCAGCATCCTGCTCTCCCTGACCTGCTTAATTACAAATCATTGATATTAGCATGTTCTTTGGACATTCTGCGGGTTTCCAGCAGAGATTCTGGCTTGTTGCAGGGTCTAGTACACCAGGAAGACCATTTGTTTATGAACTCTTGGAAGTTTTATGTTGTGTGCCTTTTCTGTGTGCCAGTCTCACCTGTATCATGGAGGCAATACCTTTGCTTGTGTGCGTGCATGTTTTGGGAGGGCAGGGGAGGAGTGAGAGATGAGGGTAACTTCCTAAAAAATAATATGGAGATAAAGAAGTTAAATGTAGAGAAGCAGTAGCGTTTTCATGTTCGTGTGAGAGATGCTGGCTTCATCTAGTCATACAGGGGATGGAATGCCGCTAAAGTTGCCTCAGCGGTTGCTGAGTAGCCCTCTGTCTGACCACTAATGTGAGGGCAGAAGCAGCATTCCCATTCACCTTGTCTAGGTGTGGCAGTAAGGAGTGGGCTCGCAAGGGCTAACTTTTAGCTGCAGGATTTAATTACGTAAGGATCCTCCTATCATCAGTGCACGGGTTGAATTCTGCAGAAATAGTCGAAAGCTTCTCTGTTAAGTTTGTATTTGCTGTGTTCTAAAGGCATTTTCCTGCCCTCCTTTGACTGTTGAGGGGGATTAGAGTCTTTTGCAGATACCTTCTTAAATCTTCCTTTCTTAAGGAAGAATTTCCTAAGAGCTATGTACTTTTCTCTAACAGGCATCCAAGAAGAAGGTGTATATGCTATATAACCTGCAGCCTGACCGATCAGTGACTGGTGGAGCTTGGTACAGTGACCAAGACTTTGAATCTGAATTTGTGGAGGTGTTAAATCAACAGTGTTTTAAATTTCTACAGAGTAAGGCGAGTGCCACTACTAAAGCCACCTTCCATTTGTTCTGTGCAAGTAATTATTTTCTTTATAAACCAGTGACAGGCAAGGCTTAAGTTTTCCATAAGTGTTGGCCATTGTTATAACTGGATCAGCAAACCTGCACTGGACTGTGTTTGTCACAGCAAGTGTGTTGCATTTTAATAATGCATATTTTCACACCCTGTGCAGGGAGTGATGCTTTCCATCTCAAGCTCCAATGACAAGCGAGGCAGCAAAAAACAGAGGACCAAACACATAAAAAAAAATCACTGGTTTTCCTGCAGAGCTGCTAATTTGTGAGAGGGTGGAAGGCACTAGTCAGTCGGCTCTGCCTAGAAGACAGTTTTCTCTAGTAGAACTGCAGGAGAAGCTTGCTCTCCTTTAAGTCCTATGTAGATATCAGCATTTCTCTATACTATTAAAATGTATTTTAACTGGCACTAGGTACAGCAGAAATTTCTTTTGTGTTAAAATAACCACCAGATGCTCATATTCCTTCAAATGAATCTAAATCACGGTGTAGATTTTGTGTCATATTTAGTATAAAATGATGTTTGGTTGTGCATTGCATTGTCTCACGTGGATCAGTCTTAAGGACATAGCTGTAAATGCTGAATAAAAAATATATCCTAGAAATGGTTTAGAAATCAACTTTTATACTTTAGTCTGCCTCAAACTGAACCATGAAGGAGGTTCTTGGCAGTGAGTACTGACGATAACTCATCTCTGCTTTTTCTCAGGCAGAAGCAGCTCGAGAGAGCAAACAGAACCCCATGATACAGAGGAACAGCTCATTTGCCTCATCCCATGAGGTGTGGAAATACATCTGTGAACTGGGTATCAGTAAGGTCAGAATAAATTCATCTTACCACTCTGAAAATTCTCAGTGCATGACTGGCTGCAGGAGTTGAGTCCTGCAAAACGGGTAGGGGTTCAAGAAATGCTTTAGTACCTACAGTTACTGCATTGGAAGTGGGCTTTGCTGCTTTATTGCTGAGGGTCATTGGTGCTGCACAGGATTCCAGGATAGTTTGTAAATGTGGGTTTTCAAGGTGTATAAGAGAACTTGCATTCACATCCTTGTTTATGGAAACTGGAGTAAGTTTTCCTTTAACAATCTCAACTGGTTTATATTTCATAATTTCTCTCAGGTTTGCCTATGCACTTCAAGCAGTTTTAGGGGAGGAAAAAAAACCCCTGAAATTATTGGTCACTGTGCTGGGTTTGAGTGGTGGGGTTTTTGGTAGCAGGGGAGGGGGCTGTAGCAGTGGCCCCCTGTGAGAAGCTTCTCGAAGCTCCCCCGGCTCCAAGTCGGTCCCACCTCTGGCCAGGGCCGAGCCAATTAGCGATGCTGGCTGCGCCTCTGTGATAACATATTTAAGAAGGGGAACCTGGGAAGGGGTTGGGACTGGTGAGGAGGAGTTACGAGAAGGACACTGATGTGAACACCCCGATCAGTGGAAGGAAGGAGAAGGAAGGGGGGAGGTGCGCTGGAGCAGAGCCCCCCAGTATCCCGTGGGGAGACGGCAGGGCCACCCCCCTGCCACCCATGGAGGTCTGCGGTGGAGCAGAGGCCGACCTGCAGCCTGTGGAGGAGCCCACGCCAGGACAGGCGGCTGCGCTGAAAGGAGGCCGGGACTCTGAGGGGAGAAGCAGCCCCCACTGTTGTAGTTCGGCGCTGGGAGGGCTGCACCACGCCGGGGGGGGCCTGGGGAATGGCTGGGGCCCGTGGGGAGGACTCATGTTGGAGAAGGTTCCTGGAGGCCTGTCTGCAGCGAGAGGGGAGCCCCGGGGAGTAGGGGAGGGCTGGGCGGCGTTCCCCCCAGCTCCCCAGAAGGAAGGAGCGGGGAGCTGGCTGTGACCCCCATCCCCTGCCCCTGCGCCGCTGGGGGAGGAGGGGGAGAGATGCGGAGCAGGGCTGAGCCTGGGGAGAAGGGAGGGGTGGAGGGAGGTGTTTTTGGATGTGGTGGCGCTTCTCACTGTCTCACCTTGTCTGTTAACTGTTGTATATTTTTTTTGTTAGTGTTTGAATTAGTGATGTTCTTTTTTTCCTTCTTCTAATGAGTGTGTCTTTTCCCCATGACCTAAATGGGTGAGACATCCCTCCCTGTCCTTATCTACATTCCCAAGCCTTTTACTTCATTTTTTCCTTTCTCATTCTTGAGGGGGAAGGGGTGAGTAACGGCTGCATGGTGCTCAGTTGCCCTCTGGGCTCAAACCAGAACAGTCACCATCAACAGGTATATCTTCAGCAGTCTTGTCTTGTTCTTCTTTCATGATCATTTTCCTGTAAAACTGGAAACATATCATGCTAGGATGATGTGGACACTTGAGGTGCATAGGGAAGTTCTTTTTGATAAGCCAAGGCTAGTATAATCCAAAAGTGGTTGGGAGGTATCGGTATTTGCTTTTCTTTTTGTATCTGCACAACCCTGTAAAGTACCCATCGAGAGTGGTTGCCTTTACCTGGGCTAGGTTAGAACTCTAAGGATCTGTTACTCGTGGTGTTTTCTCCTTTCATCCTTGCAGGATTTATTGGCATGCTTCTTTCCTAATATTTTATTTTACAAATTGTTTCTTAGGTAGAGTTGTCAATGGAAGACATTGAAACCATTTTAAATACACTAATATATGATGGGAAAGTGGAGATGACTATTATTGCTGCAAAGGAAGGGACGGTAGGCAGTGTGGATGGACAGATGAAGCTGTACAGAGCTGTTAGTCCTCTCATACAACCCACTGGATTAGTCAGGACGCCCTGTGGACTCTGCCCGGTAAGTAACCAGTTCTGTATGTGAATAGGTGGGTGCTTGCAGATTTTGACTACAATCCTGCAAAGTGCCAGCTGGCACATTGCAGGGTGATGCCTGTGAGTGATCCTCGTGGCTTTCTACTGAGTGTTACCCATGATACCTTAGCTATGGTGTAAGAGGCAGGTTCTTTAGTTTAGACCAGGGCATTTACCACTTATATCCTGTCTCTTTACTGGCCTGTATGTGAAAGAGTGCTGTCAAGTGTAGCCCATTCCAAATTATATTACAGTATTTTCTGGTCCCAAGTTTGCCTACTTATGGTTTTTAGCAAGCTAACTTATTTCCATCTAGCTTTGGTCTCTCCTGTTTGTATTGTAAACTGATATGTAGGTGAAACTTGCCAATGTGTCTGTTTTGCGTTGTTGTGCTTACATTACTCTTCCTCAGTCCTGGTGTTGGACATCCTAGAATTTGGCCTCTGTTAGACTCCTGCTTTTCTACTGGGGAAGGAGCAGAAAACATGTGAGCATATTATGCAAGTTAGATTGCACTTGCTGTATATACTGACACAGGGCTTTCTTTTGCAGGTTTTTGATGATTGCCATGAAGGTGGTGAGATTTCTCCATCAAACTGTATTTATATGACAGAGTGGCTGGAGTTTTAAAGTGAAAGAAAACTGTAAACTGCATTCATGCTTCACAGCCAAGGTGACAAAGCAGCAACTTCAGGACATGGAGTGACTTTGTTTTTAATGAAACATAAAGCAGCACTATATCAGTTGCGTGAGCAGTCCCGTGAGTGGGCTGGAAATAGAGTCAGCACTGAAGATCAAGGCTGAAGTGGAAATGTAGATCCATTCTTGTACCAAAAATTGGTTGTGTGACTTGAAAAGTGCCATAGAACAGCTGGGTGGTGATGCATCACATCCAAGGATTGTGTCGAGTACTCCACAGATGCTTATTCTGAGTGAGAGAAAATAAGTCATTAGCTCATCAGAAAAAATTGCTAATGTGTGTTACCAAGAATGAGATCCCAAACTTTGTTTTCAGACTAATGCTACTGGTGGGTGCTTGAGTCCTAAAGCTGACATTTTTCTCCTGTGATAGCTACCATCTAATTGAAGACTAAGAATCTGATGTGGGAAAGATCCTGAATATGTCAGACAGAACTCACCGATTCTTTAATTATCTTTCTTATCTGCTAATTTATCATTAAACCCTGATTTTTCTCAAGTACATCTGTGATTCATTTCCTCTGTTGCTGCCACTGCTCGGTGATGCACCTGTTGTATTTATTCTTCCATCTACAGATGCAAGATCATCATCAAGTCTGTGTTGGTGTGTTCTGGCAGCTGCATCAGGTACATATGTTAACTGAAATTTTGAGTAGAAGTATTCTGGGAAGATGTTTTGCAGAAGAGGAAGAGAGTTCCTCTGGCCTGATGGTACAGGGAAGATTTTTACAGATGATCTCAATACCCTCAGGGTTGAAAAAGATGCCAATGGCAGTTGTTTGTACATAAATATAGCCTCTGGCCTTGATTTGTGATCTGAGAAGGGCATGATCCCAGTACACCATCCAAAAGCATGGTTGTCTTTTCCTGTGATGTGGAGCCAATTTGTGTTTCTCTTAAGTGTGACCTCTCTGGCTCCTTCTCTGTGTGACTGGACTGATGAATTGGTAATAACACACAGACTGTGGTGTTGTCATAAGCCTTGTGCCCAGTGTAGGCCAGACCATGGACCTCCAGAGAGCACTGTGTGTAGTTTCCTCTGGCTATCATTGTCCCATTTGGCAGCGTTAGAGGTGTGATACTGCCTTTGGAAAATGTAGGTTCAAACACCACTTGGGAAGTAAACAGATTTTTGTACCAACTATGTTATGTTAATTAGTTACTTCACCTCTTCCTTATCCTATAATCAAGTAACCTCCGGGGGGGGGGGGGGGGGGAGGAACCCAGCTCCCTTTTTATAAATGAGAATATTGTGCATGTATGGTACATATATTTCTACCACCCAGCATAACGGAGGGCTGGAATAACGTACTAGCAGGCAGGGCGGTGTAGACAAATGAACTGTGCAGAGACAGTCTGGTCCCAGTACAACTTGGTACCTGTGGCTTAATCTTGCTGTGTCCAGTCTGGATCTCTACACCAGTACTCGGTATCTTCATGATGGCCTCCCAGCCCTGGGAAACAATTAGTGGGTCAAGCACAACGTGGGATCTGTTGCATCTGGCTATCTTCAAAATTCCCTGTCTGAAAAGAAGCCCTACTGGACACTGGGGGGGGGGAGGGGGGTGCGGCGTGGTTAAGCACCTCTACACCTGAGTTAGTATGCCAGGTAATCTGACCATGAGTAGTAAACAGTGGGCAAACAGGGAGAGATTTTGGGAGGACAGTTTACCTAATAAGGGTAGTAGACTTTACATCAGTTATTTTATTATCATCCAGGAATTTGTACCTTCTAAAAGCAGTCTGGATCACATACAAAAGTGTTCAAATCGTGCTCAATTCCTGTTTTCCTACTAGTGTGGGTTGTGAACGAAAGGCTAAGGATGGTAAGTGCCGTACAAAGAAGAGGAAAAAAAAAAACATAGGGAGGGTACAGATACAGAGGCAAAGGCTCCTTGTTTGGGAGCAGCTAGGCATGCTGTCTCCACTGGAGCAAACAGCTAGAACTGATAAGCCAGCATGTTGGTGGAAGGCATTGGATTGTATCAGCTGGTGTGAGCACCTACAGCTGGCTCACTCTGTAGTTGCAGCGATGCGTATCTCTACAGAGGCAGAAGAGCCCTTGCCCAAGAGATGCGGGGGTGAAATGATCAGAGGTTGGTTCTTCCTCTGCCCCCTTTAACCACACTTTGAAGCCTGAGGAAAATGCTGCTCACTTCACCGAGGGGAGCCTTACCCTCAGCCTCAGACCTCTGCTCTGGGGCCAAAGGTAATTCCTTTCAGGTGTGGGGCTGGGGTTGCCTTTGTCTTCCTGCTTTCAGAGAGGAGCTCACACAATGGAGTCCTGAATCCTGCTGCTGCAGAGATAATGCGTCGTTTGTGCTGTACTGCAGCTAGCAGATAGCTTTCAGGGCAACACCACGTCTTTATCATGCAGGTATGTCCCTTTATGCAGTATAACCATATTCACTGGCAGTCAGAGAAAGGAGAGAGAGCTTGTCATCAGTGGACAGCTTTAGGAAGCAGAGAACTGGTTTATTAAGCTCTTTAAATTCTGGCTCATTTGTATCGGGTTTATCTGGTTTAGTTCACTCAGAAGCTTCTTAGTGTTGCAGCTGTAATAAGACTTCTCAAATTTGGGAAAAAAACCTTGCCTACAGAGAAAAGTGAAGCGATTTCACTTTCCTGTTTAAACTAGGAAACCGATCTACTTCTAAATGAATTAGAGGAATGATCTTTCTGTAACTCTGGTTCTTCATGAGCCTGGCTTATCTATCAGCCCGTAATTCTTTTTTTTTTAAAAGGGAGTAAATGCTACAAGGTAACTAATAGTCTAAGATTTTTCTCCTCCCTGAGTCTTCCCTAAGTCTTCTACCTGTTGAAGCTGTCCCTTTTACCAGCTGGTATGAAAGGTAACTACTAGCTTCAGTACTGACTATGAAAACACGTGTAGAAAGCTGAGAGCTGAAGTTAACCCTCAAAACACGAATGGCCCTTTGGAAGCATGATCCGGATCCGCTCATTTCTTTCTGCACTCTTCTTACGGTTGAGGTGCTGCTGCAGGGCGCAGAGGTGCCTCTCTGAGAGCTCAGCCCTCTTTCCAAGAACCCTGCGGTGTGTAGAACCCACCAGGCTGCTTTGAGCGGTTTCCTCAGTGGGAGTAACCAACTGCCCAAAGGCGAGTTGGAGGGTGGTAACACCCAAACGCCGTTTTCACACGGAATCGAGTACGAGATTGCCTGTTTTTTTTTTTTTGTTGTTGTTGTTGTTGTTGTTGTTGTTGTTTTTTGGGTTATTTTTTGCCCCAAGAGAAACATTAACTACAGTACCAGGCTGTATTGTGAACTGAGAGAAGAGTACAGCTAGCAGGCACTGTTTGACATGTCTAGCCTTTACAGTCCAAAGTTTAAAGCGTTAACATTAATGGCAAACTTGTAGCTTGGACAGTAAAAACATTTACCCTGCAGCTGAGTGGCTGTTGGGTTCCCCCTTGTTTCCTGCCCTAACGCTGGCTCCCGTTGGGGGTGTGAAGGGGAATGGCTGCTCGTCTGGTGCTGTTCGAGTGCCATCTTCTGTCTCGGCCTGGTATGGCTACCTTGGGGCTCAGGCTGAGAGCAGAGAACCCTCTCAAACCCTGCTCCGGTTTCCTGGTTTGCCTCCAGGTGCAGAGCGGGTTTGGGGGAGAAACAACAGCGAGTGGGGCCAGCTGGGTCTCCTCTTGCTGCCAAACACCTCATGCTTTGAAACGGGATAGAGACACCTTAAGCAGGGCTGTCCTCCACCGCGCAGAGACCATCTTCCTACTCTTGCTTCGTGTGGTTGGGACTTTCTATCACTTCAGCTCCGGGAAATGGGCAGCCAGGCTCTCCGGTGCACTGAGCCCAGCTTAGCCTGCAGCCTGGAGGGGACAGAAAGGTACTGGGAGAAGCTTCACGGATGGGGTCTAAGTTCTTGTTGAGCATGAGAAATTTTCTTGTTGAAAATTATCTCTCCTCCCTGAGAAATAATTCTTGCACTTCGTGTGCTCTTCAGGAGATCCTGGGGCGAATGGGGAGGAGGGGAAGCTGAGCTCAAAGCATTCTCCTCTTTCAGTTGTTAAACACAAAACAAGTTGGGGCTTATACAGGTAGCCTGTGTTTTTCCCCCTTTCTCTTGCTTTTTGAGCAAGCTTGCAATTCTTCCAGGAAAACAGAAGAATGGGAAAACTTCTGTTTCAGTTATTTGGTCTAGAAACACAGGGCTTTATGATTTTGCTCCTCTTGCAAACTCACAGTAGTCACTCAATGTTTTAATTAATCTAATGCTAGTAAGGCGAGTGCTGCATGGCATTGAAGCCCTTGGTCCCAGTAAGGTGCCGTGCTTTGCTTTCGAGACACAGCAACGTCAGGAAGATGTAAAATGAGTGATAAACTAGCAACTCCAATAGGGCAGATTTGCTTTGCCTCTTACTGATGTTTCTTGGAGAGCAAGTCCTGGGTCTGAGGACGTTGACACCTGTAGTAGTTTGAATTTATATACTTTAGCATATAAGCATAGGTAGCATTCTTCTACTTTATTATTCCCACCAAATTTGTGATACTTCTGCTCACGTTCAGATTTTATGCAAGCATATTTAACCCCTGCAGAGCACACAATTTGCCTTATGTCAGGAAGCAGGGAAGGCAATATTTATATTCAGCTCGGACAGCATCTCATTTTGCTTTCTTTTGGACCTGGAACATTGTTCCCTAGTGTTAGATGCTTCAGTAGAGAATACACCTTTTCTGCCCTGGGAAGAAGAAACGAATGGCTCTTGGTTAAAGCAGTTTCCTCAAGCATTCCGCAGAGAATGCCAATCTCCCCGTGGAGTTCAGTGTTCTGCAGATGGCCCCTATCTGTGCACTTACACAGTTCTTCTCCATATCTGTCAGCCAATTCCTTCTGCCACTCCCTGGGAAGGGAAGAAGGACTGCTGATGGATCCAAACTCTGCAATAGCCCGATGGCAGTTTCATTGGATCTTCTTCCACTGCCACGGTCTGTTGAAGTCTCTTGAGGGGCACAGAGGACTGAGTTGAAAACCTTGTCCTTCTCTCCTCAATGGTTTAATTTCTTGCTGTTTCTAGTGTAAACAAACTCTTGGCACAGACTCTGAAAGGGGAGCAGTTACAGAGATTCACAAGTGCCTGAAGGCTGAGACAAGATTGCCCCCTGTATTTTTTTTTTTTCCTCCAAATAGCCAAACATTCCATTATAAACTGTGCAGTTTAAATCTTATTTATATTTCTAATTCCTTATTATATGTCAGAGCTGGCCACGTTTCCTGTGCATGGTTTTACTAAAACCTTCATATACCTAAGAAAAGTGTCACACAAAGGTCATAGAGAAAGAAAGAACATCACCCTGCAGTTGGTCACAACAAAGAGCTTCTACAGGCAATCTAAGCTCCACTGTTTGACCAGGAGGCGATGCCACCCATACCAGTAGACCTCCAGACCATTGGGTCTCTTGTTTTTTTCATCTGCTGTATCAGAGCTGTAGGCAGACACCAACATGATAACTGGGTGAGTTCTGACATACCTGA